CGTAACAATTGAAGAACGCCACCAAAAACGCAGTTCTTTTAAACCTGAACGTAAAGTGGTATGCTCAGCGCTACACCATTAGCTTGGTCAAACCCCAGAAGAAAGAAGAAAGATCCTTGAATGTTATGATGATGACAGACCAAAAGTGCTTCTGTGTGAACCTATCTATCCTAGCGATTTAGATGATGCCCCCCCCCCTTCTACTCTAATTGGAGGTGCAGGACCAATTTTGCCCACAAGACAGCTGAATATTTACCCAATACAATTATTTAAAAAAAATGAACATAGACCATCATGCCTATAAAACTCTACATAATGCATATAAAAGAGTGCCACAAGACACACCCCCCCCCCGTTCCTCCCCCTCTCTCTCTCTCTCTCTCTCTCTCTATGCGAAGCTCCTTCCTGCTTGTCAACCTTGCACTCATATCCAATCCATCTCACTATCGAACCCTCCAAACATTCATCTTTCCTTCCAGCTATTAATGTCAATAATTGAACTTTCGTCTGACCTCTTCACCTTTCAACTCAACATCTGGGTCACTTTACATTGGAATATAGACCAGACTTTCTCTCTCAATCTCGACATGGTGTTGTCAATTCTTATTGGAGTCACCACTGGGGAAATGGTTTACTTAAACTGCGTGAAAACGTCACTTCGAGAACCTCCCGCCAATCAGCATAGCAGAACCATGATCATTATTGGAGCCAAGAGTAGTGGTTTGTTTTTACCTGGCTGCTATTAAAGAAAGTATGTGAATGCTTTTAAGTAAGAAACCAGAGGACCGATAGCTTTAATTCCTCTCCAAAGGAATCGGTAATGAGGAGTGATTCTGTACCAACGAGCACTAGATCATCAACTTGGTTTCGAACCCGGAACCTACTGTTAGGAGACCACTGCTCTACTAATGAGACTTGATGGAAAATTATTCCCTAAAAAGGGTAAAGGCTCTTCGGATATGATGCGGGTGAAACAGCCTTTTTGTTTCGTTGTGTTTTTTAATATTTGTTATGATGACATATCTTATGATACAGAGCCATTGAATACGCACAAGTTCTGTTGTTGCGCCCAGTTGTCACTCATTTTCCGTTTCGTTAAAAAAAACTTCTTTTTTACGGCGGTTTACTGCGACACTGAATGAACAAATCAGTCGAGAACAATAGACCGGTATGGAAATAGAGTTCAGTAATTTGTTGTGTTAAGATTATACCAACACAATTCAAAATACATCACAAGCAACATAAATGATTTGAATATTAATATAATATATCTAGACACTAATAATAATAATAGTGGGTTCTTGTATAGCGCCCATGTCAGTCAGATTTGACCCTCCTGGCGCTCCCGATTATTACCCTGGCTTTAGCACGGCTGCCATACGGCGCTCTAGCATTTCAAGGAATAAATTCCGACACTGCACAAAATAAACTGTCATAACTGTTTTGTTTATGAAAATTATTTTTGTTTACATAAATGTACAGCCAACGAAAATATTTGTACACAATTTCAACTTTAGAAGTGATTGATCGACTAGTAAAGCGTATGTCTGAAAGGAATAATCCTTTTACAGTGTAGAGAGACATGTGAAATGTCATTATTCTTATTCGGAACATCTAGAATCTGACTCCTACAGTAAGTTAATTGATTTGTATATACGATTATGCAATGCACGACATTGACATTGTTCCTCAAAGAAAAGTAAGGAAAGGGAGAAAGAAAGAAAATAAACGACAAGACAAGACAAATAATATTAATCATAAAAATGTTCCCGTTGTCAAATGGTTGGGTTTCTTCACAGCACACATTAATGATCGAGTTCTACCGAAAACCGAAATACCTGTCAACGTTATGAAATCGATAAAATTTAGCCGCGAAGTACGTAGTATATTGTGCTATACCGCAAACAATGCAAGTATATACTTTTTACACTATAGGCATAATCATGTTTATTCTAAGTAGGATACTTGCACAGACAGGAAAGAAATAATAGTTCCTGTATTGTCCAATTTTTTTTCAGATCATCAGTCTGTAAATCGTTACGGGGAGAGTGGAATCAAACTTGACTTGCCGACCCCACCATTAAGTGCTTCGTTATGAGTATGATTACACGAGACGTGATTTTGAGTGTTTTTGCGACAAATGCCCATCGGAAACTGGATAATGCTTTTCAGATGTAGGACCTAACAGCGTTCTGGAAGTAGCACGTCTGGACAATATCAGTCAGATGGAAAATATCTTCAGTATGGTGGCGCTTTGATGTGACGGGTCGAGCGAAGATATAAAAAAGTGTAATGACCACGAGTGATATATTGCCAAATGCAGTGGCGTAGCTACAAGGGTCAAGGGGCATGCCCCCCCCCCCGCCCCCGCCCCGTAAAATTGCGTTAGAATGATGAAAAATAGGGAACATGAGAAAAATTTAAAAATGTGAGGAAGAACTGAAAGATGAGATAAGAAGATCCCCACCCACCGTTCCCTAAATTGATGGCCTTGTTATATCGTGCAAGAACGGTATCTCAACATTATGCCAGAGTGCCCCTCAAAAGTTGGAAGCACGCTACGCCTCCAGCCATTGTCCTAGGTACTTCATAGACTTAAAGGTCTCTCTAAAGCCGTTCATAAATTTTAACTGTAAAAATGAGCCGACAGAAGCCCCCCTCCCTATAATTTTGTCATTGTTCACTGAAATGTTTTTTGTAGATGTAATAATTAAGATCGGCCACTTCAATAAGAAACAGATGTATATAACCACACAAAAAAGAGAACACAAAACTTAGTTCCTGTTTTCCATTTCTTTGAATCCCGAGTTTTCTTTCCTTTTGTTTGTATCTTCGATCTTTTCTTTCATACAAATAGGTTTTGGTTGTTTCTACCATTTATCCCTGTCCCCCATCCCTTTAATCTATTTTGTAGATCGGCTTATTTCATCCACAGGATAACCTCAGAAAGTATGAATCACTAAATTTATATACGACTAATGCATACATTTTATTTTACCAAACGGTAATGGAATAGCGATAGTTAAAATGATAGACTTTGATTCAAACAACAAACATTTTCGAGGTTGAAATTATTACTTATTTTCAAAATGTCTCACTTGTTTTGCTTGCTTAAGGCAAAGGCCTAATGATTTCCATAGCTAAGGTATAATTATGATTGATAACAATAAATACATTACATTGTGCAATACTGACCAGTGTTTACCCCCCCCCCCCCATCTTTATTGAAATCTAATATCATATATATATCCATCATAGAGTGAAACCGATGATCAATATCGAAATATGGGTCTATATACAATGTGGCTATAATAAAAATTTAAAAAAAACATCAAACCATTCTCCATGCGCTCGCTGCTTAGCCTGTTGTTGGGGGCGCTATTTAGAAAGATCCACCATCAAAGAATGGAGCAGATACAGGGTATCACTTCGATGTCAATGTTCGCCTGAAGATTTTCTGCTTCACTGAGATGTACTTGACAAACTTCTATTATAATAGAAATTCACTTAAAAGAAAAATGTTTCATTGTTCGTAATTGAATAACTTGAAAGTTGCAGTTCATACGACCACCATTTTCGTGCTCAAATCGTAGGGAATTCTGGAAAAAAAAATGATTTATGCATGACCTTATACATAAAACATTTTGTCGATGGCCAATCAACAAACAGTAGTTGGCGTATTTTTTACGTCATCGCTCATGAATATTCATTGACCCTCCAAAACCGTCGTTCAAATCGGACAAAACCCCATAATGCATCCAATGCAAAACCTATGAAATGTCAAAGGTCACGATTTTAGTTGGCCCTCTAGTCCTCCTACGGAGGACATACCATGTATGATCGAATCTCTTTGAAGATTTGAATAACCCCTATCATTCAAACAAGGTCTTGAGAGAAACGATCCTCGTAATGCTGACTATGTTTTGCCAACTTAGGTTTATTATACACACAGATAAAAAAAAAAAAAACTTAGGTTCATTGTGGGCATACAAGACGGGAAAGGGATGTGGTGGTGGTGGTGGTGGTGGTGGTGGTGGTAATAGAAGTGGGAGGGTCTGCCCCGAAGGGGCCGCCGGAAATCATCACTCATAATTCGTCTTAAATATTAATTAGTTTTACATACTTGGACTTCTTTTGTTTTTAGTTCCTGCATGTTTACCAAGCTGTATTCTTTTGCAATCTTGCTAGTTGCCCTATCCACTGCAGCTGTCACTATGTTCGTCCACGTTATTGCACTTTGTATCTCTTAAAAATGTTTTTAAATATTATACAACACGTCTTATCATTACCATTATTGTTTATAAGCAGTAGTAGTAGTAGTAGTAGCAGTAGTAGTATAAGTAGTCTGTAGTAGTAGCAGCAGCAGCAGCAGCAGTAGTAGTCAGAAGTTGTCATAATGAAACAAAACGAAAATTCTATGTTAATGTTGTTGCTTTAGTTTTAATGGCGTGTATCATTCATTTATGAATATTTACGCCGACGTCTATGCGATGGCTGCTTAGCCTTGTATCACTTATATAACTCATATTGTTATTTTCTATGTTCAAATCCGTTTTATTTATAATCTGGTTTGCATTTTTTATAAGTCGTATTTTGTAATTTTCTATATTTAGATCTATTTATATATATATATATTTTTTTTGTAATGTTATACTTGTTTGTGTTTCATGAAGAGCCATAGAAAAAACAATATGTATTTGCAACCTTTCTTTTTAAAGATATTTCATAATAAATAAATAAATAAATAAATAAATAAATAAATAAATAAAATGTAGAGACATGCTCAATATACAAAATTACAAAATTATCGTTGATTTCCAAGTTGTCACACATACAAAATATACTGTACATCCATACATTTCGTCTCAAAATATTACAGCATGCGTTTTATACTTGATTAGTTGTCATAAACTAAATACTTTGATCAATATTATGTGGAGAAAAAAAAAAAATCATCGCACCGATTTTCTTTTTTTTTTTGTTACTTCGACGCCAGCGTAGTTTAAAACCGCCATAAACAAAACAAAGATAAAGTCTATTTCCTTTTCATTCTCTTGGTCTGTAGTGATTAACGTGTGAATTTTACGTAAGGTAAGTTGCTATTATTATTGTGCCTTGTGTTACTTATATCGTTAATTCCATTGCTTCAATTTTGACTGAGAAAATGCAAATATAAAAGTAGTTTGTTATTTAATGTTGTAATTTATGCGTATCAGGTGCGAAGTGTGTGAAGATGACGCCATTATTGTATACTATCAATTGACTCCCGCACTCTGGTGGGGTCGCTAAGGCGCAGTTGTTGATGCCCTCCTTTTGTTGTTGAAATCTCTCTTATACTAGCTTATCACTAACAGTAAAGTGAAATTTCGGTATTGGGCTACTAAAAATATCAACTCGGAACCCCAAATTTGTAGCAGAGTATAATTTGAAGAATCCCTGAAACAGGTAAACTAGCGAATATGACAAAATTAGCATACAATTCCATTCATTGATCATGTTGATTGCTTCGGTATTTTATTTTGAAGTAGAATCTAGTGGCTAGCACACATAGGAGCATCACTACCCTCGCTGTGTAGTAAAAGCTGTGCTTTTGATTCTCAACATTTCACACACCACTGTACAATACTCAACTGCTTTCACTCAAAATCGGTACCTAGTTTAGTGACAATTGATGACACCTAAATAGCAGTAAAATACTCCTTTTTTCTTAACTTACTGATGTTAAAAAGAATAATTTAAAAATTCAAATTGTAACTAATACCCCATTCACAGTGGTTTTGAAATTTGTAGCGGCGTTGTAGCGGAGCGGCGACACCGCCATAACACCGCTACAAATGCATTCACAGTAGAAAAGTTATCCCGCTGCAGCAGCGGGATAAATATCATGTACCCATTCACGCTGCAGCGGGTGATTTTTATTACCTCCGTAACAAACACGTGTATGCATGGCTCATGACCCGCGAGTGACCCCGATTTGACCGGAAATACTTCAGCGCGGGGTTTTCGATTGCTTGAAATTGCGCGCGCTAGCTGTACTTTACACACTCTTCCTCATGTAGCTTTTGTATCCTCGATCATATTACTTTTTAAAAACTAGCATTTTTATTGCTTCCAGTCAGAATATTTTAATTTTTTGAAGTGTTAAATATTTTTATTTGGATAATTATAATATCTACATAATAATAAAATCAATTTGAATCCACTGGTTACTTTATTTCTATTTCACTTTATGTTCCCCATTGCTGGAGAAAAGAGGTCAGTGATAGGTAAGTAAACAAATCACACGTGTTTGTCGCGGTGTTATAGCGGAGAGCCTTCACACTGAGTAAACACCGCGACAGCAGCGGGACTGTCCCGCTGCTGTAGCTAGGCGAACCTAGCGATAGTTTGTCGCGGCGTTATCGCGAGGCGGTGTTATCCCGCGATAGTTTATAACGGGTCGGAGCCTTCACACTGAAGACAACACCGCGACAGCAGCGGGACAGTCCCGCTGCTGTCGCGGTGTTTGAGGCCACTGTGAATGGGGTATAAGTCTACTCTAGTGTCAAACTTTGCTTACAGCTGCATCGACATGATTGTGTAGAGTCTATGCGATATTGTGTGGTGTGTATAATTGTGTAAAGGTCTAATAATACCCGCCTCGCAGCAAGCATGCAGTGCTAGAGGTCAATACGCATTGACTCTCTATGCTTTGCTGGAATGGTGGCTTGTGCATGTGCAGCACTGCATTCCATAACCATGATAACACAGTGCAGTCCCATATACATGTAGGTTTGGTCCAATGAGTGATGATTTATGTTGTATGAATTGTGTGAATTGGGGGTATTTTATTACGCGGTATCCTTTTTTTTTTGCATTGCCAGCGTGGGATCGGGAACCCGAAACCCGCAGAGCGACAAAGAAATAAAACGTTCTCAAAAATGTGGACGATCCTTATTTTGTTAGGACACGATTAGTCCGCGTTTTCGATGATATCCTTGTTTATGCGAACGATCCTCATTCCAGCGCCCCTACTAATAATGGAATTAAAAAGTGTCATGACATGGTTTTGATGCAGCACATCAAGATAGTTCTAAATCACAAACCCATGAAAAATGTGAGGATATCTCAAGTAGGCATTCAGTATTGTAAGAGGAAAGGAAAATACATGTTCACTTCTGTGCATTCGTCAATTTTTATTGTTTCTTTTAAATGTTTATATATTTACTCTCTTCCTTTTTTTTCTTTATATTTCACAGGTTTGCCTAGTCGTCTCTCCAAACAAGCTGGTTATGATATCGATGTCAGCTGTGTATATGAGAGTAACAAGTCACATATTCAAAAATTTGACCCTGACTTAATTACTCTACCAACATGGATGTTGATCAACCGGATGAAAAAATTCAGTCAAACAGACAGGATGAAGGTCTTTATGATTTCTCCTATGGTAAGCATGATACATTGTATATAAGGGCTCTTACTTTAGATTTGTTTGGAAATTTAACTTTCAGTATTTATTTACAATTGCCTCATAGGATTGTAGAAATGTAGGTCGGACTTAGCATCTGGGCAAATGTTAATTTGAGCCCTGTCAACACCGGGGAGATTGGAATTTATACCTGTAGCTTCATGAGGTTTTGAGCATGGAATTCTTCACAGCACACTGACACAAACAAAAAAGAGAAAGAAAACTATTAAAAAGAGATCTATATCTCTCGAAAGTTCCAGAAGACCTGTAGAAAACTTTAAAAGGCTTTGGAAAAATATTTTTCCAATAAATATCACTTTTAAATCAATCCAAAAAAAAACCTCCCACGAGAATGGTGGCAAAAACATCAATCTCTGTGCTCTCATACATGAATAATTTCACCAATATGTCGCATCAACGTTTTTTTTCTTCTCTTTTACCTCAGATGATGATGGGGGCAGCATCAAGTCTCCTGATGGTGCGATTGACGATGAATCCAACATGTCCGCCCTTGACCTTTACACTGACATGGTCGTCAGAGACAGTGAAGAGGCTGCCCTCTCTATGGCTAAGGTAAACCTCACGATGAACTTTGTACAGTCAACCCTGTCTACAAAGACCACATTTTTCATTTCCCTTGAAAATGGTTTCTCATTGAACCATGTACTATATGCACCTGTCTACAAAGACCACCTGCCTATAAGACCACTTTTCTTGTCCCCCTTGGGTGGTCTTTATAGACAGGTTTCACTGTAGTTAAATGATGTTTGGCACTTTTATGCCTGTCAGGACTCTTGGGATATGACAGAGGAGTGTAACATTAACTTCCGTTTCCCTTTTGTAGTGGTTTCCATGCTTGTAGCCAGAAGGGTGTCTGCCGTTAGAGATGCCTCACCCTTTAATTTTGTTCAGACTACATTCACCATCATCATCATCATTTGTTAAAGTCAGCATTTTCCCTCTTGCAAGGGTTTACTGACTTTCACGCTGTGATGACACTCCCTCAAGCTTCCTCTTCTTTTAGACCAACCTTACCGCTTTTTTTTCATTTCATCATATCTTTCCATCAAATCTTCGGTCTTCTTTTCTCTCTAATGCCATCCACTTCCAGATCCCATTATTTAATGGATTACTTTTTTGAATGACCCTTTGGACACCTTCATTTTCAATTTGACACCAAATACTGATATCTTGGCTAGAAGCCTGGTGTTTTTTCATAGCTGTCAATAACATTGAGTTGTGCATTTGCTCCACTACCAATCGCTTAAAGGTTTATTTATTAAAGATATAGGGTCCGGTTTGCAGTTGGGTTTTTGGTTTGGTTTGTCCAGGGTTGGAGTCTGGAATTTTTGTAGTGAGCACTTGTTAAAAGTAGTTTTATTGTGTGTGAAGTAGGTAAGCTACCATGTAGAAGACAGAAATAGATGTGTCTCATTTTCTACTCCTATATTTTTAGTACATCCTTACAATGTTGTTGTTTTGCTTTGTTTGCTTTTTTTTACCAGCTCAAGGAAGAAAAATCGTCTTTCAAAACTCAGCTTGACGCTGCATTAATTGAAGTCAGCAAGTTGACCACAGTGGTGAGTTATTTTGAATTAAGCCCGTCTGCACTAGTTTGGCCAGGGGGATTAGACCACCCAGCTTGGTCACTGACAGGTGGTTATTTCATCAACTCAGCTCTCAATTAACATAAGAAAAAGGGGATCATGGGGGACCAACAGGCACCGCTTAGGCATTATTTTCTATCCAAGTAGCTACAAGTATTGCAGTGGGGCTTTAAGAGTATAAAATACTGCTTTTAGTCAACTTATTTGACTATTCAAGGTCTCTGAGAAAAGTAAAAAGAGAAGGGAAAAAAAATCAGGCAGTGAGACGTGCATATTTGCAGTGGGAAGGCAGGATCGTTATAAAGGGAAATCCATTCCTGATAGCAAACTACTCTAGAGGAAAACGGTAAAATCAGAGTAGTCTGGTGAAAGTTTGAATGAAATTGAACCAAAAGTGGAAAGATAAATTTGGTTAAATTTGATACTGCAATAGGTATGGGCTCTTCAAATTGACTGAATTAGTGTCTCTGTGATGTAGTGGCGGATAACTTTCCCATTTGTTCCAACACACAAAATGACTGAAATTCAATTTTTTTCTTCCCAAAAATGTATGATAATGACTCAGGAGGGTAATTTCTCTTTGGAGAACCTATGATAATATGCTATCCATGATATATTTGAGTAGTGCCCAAAGGGAGAAAATGTTTGGGGAGGAAAACAAAATTTATGATATTTTTGTTTTGTACCCCACGCTTTATCTAGTTTACTCTATTTACTTACTTTTCATTAAATGCAACTTAGACCTAGCTGCAGCCCTAACGTCTGGTGGACATTTTATATGGTTTGTATTTATTTCTTTGTACAGAACGAGACATTGACCAAAGAGAACCGAGTACTAAAGAGCAACATATCTGTTCTGCTAAAGACCGCCAAGATGGAGATACAGCGCAAGGAGAGAGAGCTCAATGAATTACGCGACATGTAAGTAACAATTGTTCACATATGGTGAGGTAAAAAAAAACAATTTAATGCGGGCTTTGCAAGCATAAAACACTTCTAATTTGTTGTATGTTAAACACACATAGCATCTGTTCAGAGCCAGAAGGGCATTGACACTGTATTAAGTATATGAGTTAACGCCCTCTTTGCTCTAAATAGAGGATATCAAGGAGTAAATGTAGGAACTTTGTTGTGCGAGGCTTCTTTCTCATTCATACTTGTCATTCATGTAGTTCACTACAAAAAAAGAAAAGTACAGCAGTTTATAGCAGCATATATGTAAACAAACTTTCTTTGTAAGACATTGTAAAATACTTACAATCTGTTTCATGTCTCAGAAAGATAAAAATTAATTGTAGCAAGAATAGAGAAACAATAGATTTTGCATTTTTATATTACCGGGCCTTTGGCTTAAATCTGACCTTATCTTGTCCCCTATAAACTAAACATGTTTGTAGTCTCTAATTTTTTTACTCATCAGTCCTTATCTTTTGGTGTTTGTATTTCTAGGCAACTTGATGGAAGAAGACCATCAGCAAATTCTTTTTCTTCAAGGTCACGCAAGACAAGGAGGGGTCCCAAACAGCGGCAGCAGCCTGGACCCCTGCGGCAGAATGGAGCTCAGCATCCCAAAGGTCCAAACGCTGGGCCTACCCCCAGGGCTATGAACAGAACAGGAGACAGTGACAGCGATAAGGAACAAAAACGAGATGTTCGAGAGACTATGTTTGTGCGGAGGCAAAGAGCAAGGAATCAACAGCAGTCTACAACCTCAACGTCACAATCATCCAAAGTGCCACATCTGTCCTCAGATAAACGTGAATCAGGTGGTGCAAAGAGGTCTATAGGGGACACTTTGCTGCATCTGTCACGGCAGTCATCGCAACAGATTGAAACGTTGCGTTGTGAGACCAAAGAGAAGGACAAGGTTGGACCATTGATGAAGGGTTCTGATGGAAGCCAACTTCAAAGGACAATGGAGCCAAACACTGCAGATACAACAAGACACAGTGACCCAAAAGATTTGGTGACTAAAAAGCCAGAGGTTGTAATTTCTGCTGTGCCAAGATTAGAAGCACAGAGAGAAAAGACTACTGAGAGACATTCACATCATCTGAAAGACAGGTCAAGAAGTAGATCGGTTGAAAGAGCCACTAGGAGTAGATCTGGAGAGAGGTCCTCTACAAAAATTTCTGAGGACAGATCTAAACAGGACCAAAGGAAAGTACAGCCAAGAAGTGGTTCACGTGAAAGGTCATCCACAAGTAAGTCAGATGACAAAAGGTTGTCTCCAAGTAGATCTTCTAGGAGCAGATCAGATGACAAGAGGTCTTCCAGGAGTAAATCTTGTGACAAAAAGTTGTCTCCTAGTAGATCGTCTAGTAGTATATCCCATGAGAGGAGATCATCTAGAAGTAAATCCCGCGATAGGGACAGATCTAAACAGGACCAAAAGAAAGTACAGCCAAGGAGTGGTTCACGTGAAAGGTCATCCACAAGTAAGTCAGACCATGACAAAAGGTTGTCTCCAAGTAGATCTTCTAGGAGTAGATCAAATGACAAAAGGTCTTCCAGGAGTAAATCTAGTGACAGGATGTTGTTTGGAAGTAAATCGTCTAGTAGTATATCACATGAGAGGAGATCATCTAGAAGTAAATCCCGTGATAGGGCATCAAATAGCAAGTCTCGTAATAAACCAAATGATCTCAAACAACGGAAGGAGGAAGTTTCTCAAAGGGAATCATCATCTACTTCTAAGAGGTCAAGGTCAGAAAGGGATGCAATAGATAAGCAAGCTGAATCTCTAGCCTTCAGCCGATCAAGAACTCCAAGAGAAAATGTTTCAAAGGACAGACGAAGAGATAGAGACAGAAGGGATAGTAGACGATCTAGTACACCAATACGAGATTCAACAAGAAAGGACTCACAAAGGTCTAAGGAGAATCGGAAATCATTGAGCGGTGTTAAAATGCCTTCAAGCAGGGAAAGGGGGCAGAGTGGGGCAAGAGAAAGAATGTCTAGCATCGCAAAGGAGTCTGTTGCTAAAGCTAAGGCTATGCTAAACAAACGTACAAGTGGTTGTTCCTCTCCCAAGAAATCTCATAGATATGACAGGAGAAGGTCATCAAAGGATCTGTGTTTGGATGGCTTGACAGAATGGACAAAAACGGAATCGAGCCATAAAGAAACTCGTTCTGGAGAGTTAAGAAAGAAGGAGAGAGGACATGAAGGCAGTGAACGAAAACGAAAGCACAGATTATCATCTTCATTTCAGAAAGAATCCCTAAGTCATGCCAAAAAGAGGAAGGCTGGTTCCAACAGCGATGATACTGGAAAAGTGGACATTGCTGATGAGAATCACCTTGATGCAGGTGGTATCAATTCTTGTACTTATGAAGAAGGGCACACTGTCCTTGCCTGTGGAATTAGAGACTCTATTGAATGTACGTCTAGTAAGGTAACAGTACTGCACACGAGCGTTAGCGATGCCTACGATACTACACAGAGTGATACATCCTTTCTACATGCATCAGGGTTGCAGGTTGATAATGGTGCCCTGAAGCAATCAACAGGCGATGCAGTTTACCATCTGAACAAAGAGATCAACGAAGAACGGGAACTATCAGAAGGAGAAATCGTCAGTGATGATGAAGAGGCAAGTAGAACCAAGAAATCCAAACCGAAGTCGTCAGAGAAGAAAAAGAGGCGATTATCCAAACACAGACATAGTCACTCTAAGAGTACGGAGAGCACAACGCATTTCCTCAAACCACCGAGAAGAGGCAAGAAGCACAAGAGGAGAAGAAGTTCTGATCAAGAGGCTCAAGGAAGAAAGAAAAGACCAAAAGAAAATATAAAAAGTGATGATTCAATACAATCACAGACAGAAGAAGATGCGTCAGCTCAAAAGAGCAAGGCGTGTGAAGGTGGCCTTAATGTGGAGCTTGTCAGCGAAAATGCGTTCCCACCTATAACTGGTTTAGATGATTCAGAGATTGCACTAGGACGTCCAGATGATGTGGATATGGAAAAGGATGTATCAGAGCTCACTGAAACACCAGTGGATAATCGTCCTACACCCATTAGTAAATCTGAAGCAGTAGGTATGATGCATGTGTCTGAATCAGCCTTGGGAGCCTGTGGAGATATTGAAGAAGTGCCAAAGACTGAGACATCGAGTTCCCCTGTAGAAGAAGGGGAACATGAAAAAGATGAAAATAGAGGTGAAAGAATCCTCAAATTTGAAGATGCTGTTGAAAGTGAAACTGTCGCTGCAAACGCGAGTACAGAGGCTTTATCCGAGCATGCTATTTCTACACCTATCAAGGAATCTGTCTGTGCAGGTGAGATCCAGGCCCGTCAAGGAGCAACAGAAGCTGATCCCAATGTGAGTAGAGGAATTCTGTTTGAGGATCTCTGCCTATCGTCATCTATGGATGATACATCATACCTATCCTGTGTTAACACCACCTCAGAAAACCAAAGACACAGTTTTATGAACTCCATTGAAAAAGTTGATGATCTGGTGAAAGAGATCAGTGATCCATTGGTGAATACTTCAGCTCTTGACATGGATGCAAGCCAAAAGCCGACAGAAGGGCATGAAAAACTTGAAACAGAGATCAGTGAAAGTCTTGGAAAATCTGCCTTAGATCTGCATCACATACCACCAAAGACAATTACAAGTGAACCCATGCCTGATCCAAGCAAAAATGGGGAAAGATTCTCCAAATTACAAGTGAAAAATGCAACACATGATCAGATTGTGACGGATGGAACTCACCTGGAAACATCACCTGATACATCAGCGGAGTTGAACACCAGTAAATCATCTGAACCTGCTCAGAATGACGCAGTTCATTCCTGTGAAAAGGAAGTTCTTGTGTTAAATGAGGATAAATCTAAGAGTGATGATCATGTTGCCGATGAAGATAATGATGCAGTGTCCCTGCTGGCAGCAAGTGGTTATCTAGACAGCTTCATGCATGACAATGCCCCCAAGGTGAAGAGGCACGTTGATCTGTCTTTTGATGAAGTAGAGGAAAGTAGAGGTGTCCTGAAGGAAACAGAAACAGTTGATAAGACAGAGACTTCGCTGCATTTGACTTGTGAATGGAGTAATATCGAGTTCCAAGATTCCTCTACCAAGATGGGTGCTGAACCTGACCAAGGACCTGTCACTGTAGTTTCTCCATTTTTTGATGATGGATGTGCCCAAGACATGGAATATGCTACAAATCCCATGTTAGATGAAGAGGAGCATGAAGAGAATAAAGAAATCTTTAAAGGTGACAAAGAAACAGAAATTGATTTTGGCAGAACTGTTGGAGACAATATCAAGGAGAAAGAGAAAAGCCAGACTTACATGCCAAATGAAGCTTCAGAGTTAAGGCCTTCCAAAAGAGACCCTCTAAACCTTGACAACATGGACACAAGCGTTAGTGATGCCCTAGCCACTGAAGAAGCCGGAATCCGTACAGATGGACATCAGTCATGTGAAGTTAAGGTATCTGGTGCCTCTTACAGCACTGAGAAAAGACATTCACCCTTAAGTAAGGCAAAGGAGGAAGATTTATTTCCAAACAGAGTGAAGGAAGAGGAGAAAGAGGTTGAGAAAGAAAACGTAGGTGAGGATGAAGCCCATGTTTCATCTAATCCCATTGTGATAGACGATGATGGGGTTGAAAGTGAACTCGACTTTGAAGAGGATGAGGAGGAAGAACAGGAGGATAGTGTCTACATTGTTGATGTACAGCCTGCAGACCCTCGTAAAAGAAAAAGAAAGCAAGAGGATGATTCCTGTAAGGAAAGTGAAGAGGAGAGCGAGGAGTTGAACCAGTCAGAGAGTGATACCTCTGATCTAGAAAGTAAACGGGACCCCTTGAAGACTTGTGTGAGTCGTGATGAACCATCTGCAGTTGGAGAGAGCGAAGGCCATGACAAGACCATCTCTGGCAAAGGCCTGTTGGAAAGTAATGAAGTTGAGAGTGATCTTGATTGGGGAAGTGAGCCTGAAGAACAAAATGAAGAATATGATGTTTCTGAGGATAGAGAGAAAGGCACTGATAAAGATAACAAGGAGAATGGAAAGCTAGATAAAAAGGAAGAGGAGGATGAAAAGACCGATGGGGATCAGCAGAAGTGTGAGGAGGATTCAGAAGAAGAAGGTGAGATTCTTGACGAAGAGGAAGGAGAAGAAGAGCACTCCGATGGAAGACACGACAGAAAAGAACCAAGTGAGAAATCAAGAAAAGATCAAAGACATAGAAGAGATCACCAAGGGCATAGTCAGAGCCACCTCCACAGATCCGTCCATAGGGATTCCTCCAGTGGAAAGCGGGAGAGGAGTTCCGACCTCCGTAGACTTGATGTAGAGGGAAAAGGCGAGAGAGGAAGAAGTGGCTCATCAGACCAGGACCGGAGGTCACATAGAGAAGTGCAGGAGAGAGACAATCGGAAACATCCCAAGAGAGAGGACAGAGAGCGAACAGGAAAAGGGCGTATCAATGAGGAACGATCCCGAAGGATGAAGGAAGATAGGCGGGAAGCGTCTGAGAGGAGAAAGGAAGAGGACAGGAAAAAAGCTTTGGAAAGGAAACGAGAGGAAGACCGTCGAAGGTTGGATAGGAGAAAGGAAGATGAAAGAAGAGAAGCAAGAAGAAGATTAGAAGAAGAGCGTAGGCAACATGAAGAAAAGAAGAGAGCCCGAACGAGAGAAGAGAATAAAAAGGTCAGATCTAGGTTACATGATAGTGAAAAGAAGAGAGAGCCATCAAGAAAATCAAAGAAAGTTTCAGAAAGCAGGAAATCCTAACCCATTGCATTAAAAGTCATCATGTATGATCGATGCAATATGAAATTATTGCCCAAGTATAAATGCTCAGAATGCTCTGACAATCGCCTTTACAATCTCCACTTGATCATGATTTAAAATGCCCCATTTACCATGGATTTACATTTTGTTATTGGGGAGCATGTGTAAAAAATACTTTTCACTTTTTGGGATCTACATTTATTTTATTTAATGGCAGAGGTCAGAGTGTATTCATAAGATGGGACTAAATCTAGCCTTGAGATTTTCTTGAGAGAGTCATTTAACTTCAACGTGTAAGAACTTTGTATGGAGGCAAAAAAGGGGGAAATTAACAAGAGACACCTTTTCAACCAGAACATAGAAGTAGATGGACTGTAGTTTGATTTGGCGTTGATTGTCGGTAAATGCACCCCTGATCCCTGATCCCTGAATATTGAGAGAGAAAAAGGATAAACCTTCATTGATGGAAACATAATTAAGATAATCAATTAAATATAATAAGAAGAAAAATTCTTCTTCTTGAGCTGTAGAAAAAAGACCTTACAGTCATAGATAACCACCCATGTAATCTTGCTTTTTATCACGTTCAGGATTTACCTTCAAAAGTGAAATTTAACTCTCCATAAGTCGCATCTGGTGGGAGCACAAAAAAAACATAGTTTGCCATATGGAAAATTCAACTTAACAAGAGTAAATAACACATATTTTGTATAGTTAGGTCCAGAAAAGCAACTCATTGTATAGTGGTTTAGTGTTTTAGAGGTGGTTATTTTACCTGACTGCTAAGAAAGCATAAATGCTTGTTAGTAAGCAACCAGAGGACCGACGGCTTAAGGTCCTCTCCGAGGAACTATTGCATCCGGTCTCTCTTTAATTTGGCTTTGAAGACCGAGTCAACAAACAAGTGCTTATTATCATGTAAATTTATTAGTGAAAGTTCAAAACCTAAAAGGGCATTGCAGGGGTTTGCACGGTGAAAATCTAAAAAAGTTGTATAAGGGCCAAAGTGTTAATGTTCATTAAATGTTAAATTTCATAATTGAAAACTGTCCTAAAAGTACGGTGGCAAAATATTCATTGATAGCAAAATGTTTTCATTCATAGAGAGAAAACGCTGAGTCTTTAATCTGAAATTTTGCTACTTTTATAAACTCATTTTTTTGCTAGAGATAAATTTTGAGATCATTTGTTGGGGGCTTGCAAATCCCTGATAGGGACTTTAAAAATATTATTCATTTCTATGTTGATTGAGCATTATCAGAAGTATTACTTTGCTTATTTTGATTTGATATTTTTGTACGTGTGTTTTCATGTATATTAGATTGATGTATATTCATATGAAATATGCCTTGCCTGGGCTTGTAATTAGGTATTTAAGAAAGAGTATATGTACAGAAGAAGTTTACACAAAGTTTGTACATTTTGCATGTAGATACTTAATATATTTTCATGATATAAATCTTGAAGTTAAAGAAGAAATTAAAATATATCAATGTTAATAATAAATAATATTCAGCTTTTATATAGCGCAAATCACAATAAGTCTCTAAGCGCTTCCAAACTTGGATATTATTACCCCGGCTTTAGCTGTGCTGCCGTTATAGCGCTCTAGCATTTCAAGGAATAAATTCCTACCAGGTACCCATTTACTTCACCTGGGTGGAGTGTGGCAAATGTAGATCAATATCTTGCCAAAGGACATTAGTGCGGCGGCGGGACTCGAACCACGGACCTTGTGATCGACAGTCCGGGCGACGTATCCACTCGACCACAACACCTCTATAACATTTGGTGAAAAGACGAGAAAATATAATGTTCTCCACGTTGGATTTATACCCTTTTTACATACAAAGTTATTGCCTGTGGTTCATGTAGACACATAAATACACAAGCTCTACTGGCAGGAGGAGGGGGTTGGTTGCTAATCTATTCATTATCCCACAATTTGCCTGTATGCAATGTCACACCTGTGAAGTACATGCAAATCTGCCAATGTTTTTCCATTACATTTCAAAGCTTTAGATTGAACTATGTCAACCCAACATTAATCTTTATCTAAACTCCTCAAAAAAAATCTGCAGTTCAGGTTTGAGTGTTGATATCTTTCTTGTTGCGATACATATATCATACTTGAATTTGGTGTCATTTTACAATGATGCCTCATTTGTAATCATGATTATATAATGTGCAGTACACCTGCATATGAGGCTAAGTCAAAAGTTGAATGTTGACAAATACATTGTTACTGTCGACAGTGACCGCCTCAATATCATTCAAAACACTATCCATCCTCCAAACACATGAATAATTCGCTATTGAAAAAAACAATGCATTTTGCAACATTTCACTTTTTAATTGGCCCCATATTCAGGTGTACTGCACACTCATTGATGACATAATCATTACGATGGGGCATCATTGTAAAGGGGCATAAACAGGCTTTTAGATGATACCAGCATCAATAATAATAATCATAGTTACAAGAGAAATATCAACGCTCAAACTTGAAATGCAGAACTTTTTGGAGGAGTCTATACATTGGAATTTATATGTAATGTTAATTAATGGGTTCGTATGATAGGTACAAGTGTACCGTAACATTTGAAAGAAAGTTGTGCAAATTCAGCCTAAGGTTTATATTTCATGAGCCACAAAATGATTAAGACCACAAACAGTCTAAATGTTTGTCCCTCACTTTGCTCTCTCACAACAGTTTTAACATGATAGAAACTTCTTTCCATCATTAATTGGAACACCAGTAAATCAAAATTCCAAAATTGATGTATTGGACATTCAATGCCTATTGTAATAAGAACATTTATAAAAGTTTTAAGTTGTATTGTATCAATGGCCAGACCTCAGGGCTTGAAGTAGTGTATAAGATTGTATGAAGAAATAAACAGCGTACATGGGTACGTGATATTAAAATTGAATACGCATTTTGTTTGTTGTATTTCTACTTTGGTATATGGTGTTGTGGTTAATTTCATTCTCTTAACAATAATAACAAATATAATAGCCTATGCATGAATTTTCATTATCACGAGCTCTAGAGTACATGTACATTTTAAAATGTGTTGATACAAACTAGATTATTTATAGATGGGTCATTAGAAAGAGATTATCATTAGCATGGTTTTGAAGAAAGTTGAGTGAATGAAGTCTTTGTCGAGGTGTTGTGTTAAATGATCTAGGACCACTTTGCATATAAAAGACATGTGATAACAAGCAACTATCATAAGCGACATTACTTTCAACCAATCAAAATGGTGCTTTAGTTTATGTTTATATCTCTCTTTCTCTTCCTCTCTTTATCTTACCCTCTCTCTCCCTTCTGATTTCTCTCTTTTCAAAGATTTTCTTTCGATCTCAGTTCAGGCCATTTTATTCAAAACATGATATAAGATGTTATATAAAAAAGAGACTGGTAATAGTACATCAATCCACATATTTTAACTTGATTACATCATAAACTGAATGGTTTTAGGACCCCTTTAGAAGCTTAGCTTGTGATCGGGGCCGGCCCTATAGTAAACAAAATACATACATTAACAGTAAAAAGTAAAATGAATGTAACGTATAATTATACAGGGATGGAAATACTAAGCTACAGAATATCTCTTCCCACCAGCGCTCAAAATACACGGGGGCGGTGGGCGATTCGCCCCCGTGAGCTACATAATCGCCCCCGTCAGGTTGCTCACGGGGGCGATAGCAAAATTAAAAATCGCCCCCGTGGAATTATAAAACAAAGATTATCTTTTCTGTTATAACTTTAACACAATATTGAGTTTCAATTTTTAAACCTTAAACCAATGAAATGGAACTTAGATTATTGTGCAAGATTTCTCGTTTTATGAGTAGGCCTATACCGATTCAGCTCGCAGTGCAAACACTGCAAACAAAAAAAAGAAAACAAGGTTATTTAATAAAAGGATCATGTGACAAATAATCATTGTGATTCAAATTGATGCAAGGATTTTTTTTTCTGAATAAGCAATGCTTTTCACCAGAATATTCTTTGTAAAAACGACTTTTACAAATCTCAGCCCTGCAAATCTGCCACTGTGTTGTAAGATCACTTTCAGATTAGGAGAAGTGTATTCTTTAATGAGTATTTTACATTGAATGGAACGTCTCAACTCAGTAAGCATGGCTGAGATTTGTAAAAGTTGTTTTTACAAAGAAGATTCGGGTGCAGTGCTTATTCAAACAAATATTCGCATCAATTTGAATCACAATCATTATTTGTCGCTTAATCCCTTTTAATGACCTGTTTTCTTTCTCGTTTGCAAGGGAGAAGAAGATATGTCACGTTAAAGACATCATAAAGATCAGTGTTGTATGCGTATATAAAATTGCCAGTAACAGCTATGTAGCTTGTAAATTTGTAAGAGGGAAAATGCTGATTGAAATGATAATGATGAAATAGCAAATAATTGAGGAGTATCATAGGTACCAATTCAATGGACTTTTGTATACAAAAAGAGCCCCCGTCAGTACTAAAAGAGCCCCCGTGAGAAGGCTCACGGGGGCTCTTTTTTGGGGGAAGAGCCCCCGTGGACAAAAAATTAATTTGAGCCCTGCTTCCCACAATTCAATTTCTCAATTGATTTCCCATATCTTTATTTGTTCTTTCCTTCTCTCTCCCCCCCCCTCTCTCTCTCTCTCTCTCTCTCTCTCTCTCTCCTCTCTCTTCCTTTTGTCAGCTTCCATCATCAGTCTTGCTTCACACTCGAATAACAAAAGTACAATGCAAGATCTGAAATAGTGTAGTATTCAAATGGTTTATCAAACGAAATCATGTACAAACGTCATAAATTAGCATTCTAAATAACTGAATAAGGAATGTTGTGTATGTATAGGCCTACTTGGTAGTCTGGCAATTTTGAATTGTTATCTTCCATCGGTCAACATACACACCCGCCCCGAATGTGGATAATACAATAAACCAGAGAGGTTCAATTTTTTTAAGAAGAAAAAAATGAAGGGCGAAATTTCGAAAACAGCTTCAAGATTTGTTTTGCTTTGTCGTTGCATTTTTAAGAGGGGTGATTTCGAAATGGCAAACGATTTAGTTTTTAAAAAGGGGGCGGCATGGGCCAGTTGTGCCCCCCCCCCCCCCAAAAAAAAAAAAAAAATCCGCCCGTACAGTATTACCTTCCTCAAATTAACAAATGACTTCTTGATGCAGCTTAAGTACGTTCATTGGGTGATCGCGATCTAAGTATTGAATGTTGCTATACATATAGGCCCTATTCACATACGAAACGTCTATCTATAAAAAGAAAAGAAAAAGCAATAACACGTTGCTTTGAAGTTTGTGATGTCACCATGACGTCACATCTCGTAAGACTGAACTGCCAGCTTCGACGGCGTGCGTTAGGATGGCGACCTGTTGAGCGACCACGGTCCAACGACCTGTCTGGTCGGGGTCGTCGTCGATTTCATACAGGGCATCGAGGATACCGGGAAACGTTCCTGAAGGGACTTTGTCTGTCGAGCGTTCCTGGGTTTTCCGCCCGGAAAATAGCAGATGCCTTTATACATGTGACGAAAAGGTGGATGATAAAATTTGATAGATAAATCCAGGTCTAAAGAAAAAAGGATCCGCGAATTTTTTTTTGAACATGAAGTTGATAAAATTGCGCAAAAAAAATTACACGAAGGGTAATTATATACAGTATATCCTTGATGTACATTTTGGGGCAATTTTATTTCAACGCAGTTATTACAGAGAGTCAAATAGAGAAATCTCGGATGCCTGGGGAGGGGTTATGTCTTTGTTGAAAACATTCTGGTATACCAGTTGGAGGGTACGGGAGGTAAACCAAATTCTTTTAAATATTAAGCCAAACGTGTGAAAAGGGAGATGGCTTTTATCTTTTCATTTTTTTTAGATTTGAAAAAAATCGAAGGTAGAGTGCAAGAACAACTTGACCTAACGATAAAAAAAACCAATGCCACTTCAAAATACAACAAACGTAAAAAAAAAAATTGTTTCAGACAGGTCCATTAATGGAAATGGTTCTGGTTATACGTAGAGTACACTGGATGTGATTGTCATTTAAAAATCGTGGGCATTAATTCTGTGTTTTGTGTGAGAACCATTATTTATGCAAAAGGTTGAAAGCATTTAATGTGTTTAAGTCTTGGATATAAGCATTGATCTACTTAGAAGCTTGTATCTTTAGAGCTTGTCTCTTGTAAATTGCAAATTTCAAGTGAAGCCCCTAGCTATCTCTATACCAAAAAAATGCAAGTTTGATAATATCTTTCGTATCTAACAATGATAATCATATTTGAGTTACCTGTCCAGAGTGTTTCCGGGTAAATCACCTAGAAAAGCCTTGTCAAGTGACATCAACTGATCGTTGACCTGCCTCACAGCTACAGTACTGATATCAGGAGAGAGAGAGAGAGAGAGAGAGAGAGAGAGAGAGAGAGAGAGAGAGAGAGAAAGAAAAGAGAAGGGAAAGGGGTTTAGAGAGAAAGAGAGAGGGACGTGTTGGAGAAGGGAAGAGAGAAAATTGTACTTCGAAATTGGTACTCCATTCGACAAAAGTCAAATTGAAAGATCGTTTTACTTGTTATTATATCACTTTGGTCAAATGAAATATTTTGTCAGACAAATTGCTATACCCCGATGGTACACAATAGACTTTACTTTTTACTATGCTTTATATTAGGTGTGTGGTGAAATAAAACATGGTACTGCTCTTTATTTTATATTTACGACTGGCAAGGAAAATGCCACAAATGTCACTTATACCGAAAAAACACAAGTGACGTATTATATTTACGACATATTTGTGATTTAAAATCAACATAAAATGTTATTCAGTTATTATTTTGTAGACTTATGAAAAGTGATGAATGTGTCTCTCCAGTCATAGACATTGCGGTACAAAGAAATGTGCTTACCTTTGGGTGTCCACAGACCCCAGCCGATCTTGAAATTGTGAGCTAATTGTTGCAAACTCGGCAATCGCCTGCTCTAGGGATTCTAGAATTTAAAAGATCAAACGTATACCAAACATATTGATGTTCAATATATTGGTAATCGATAACATACCTAAGAGTTACCATTCACTAAGAGAGAGAGAGAGAGAGAGAGAGAGAGAGAGAGAGAGAGAGAGAGAGCGAGAAAAAAAGAGTATAAACTACGAATAAAGCGACGATGAATATATGAAAACGTGTTTCATTTTGCTCGGTTGTTGTTGTTTTGGGGTGGGGGGGGGGGGGTCATTTTTTGTGTTGTGGGTGAAGGGCAGGGGTGAGGCTGTTACTGGGATAATAGCTCTCATACAACCTGTGTATCGATTTGATGTTTTATCGAGTCATCAGTATTTGAATATCAAACAGCATGTGACAATGCCCTTCATCAATCCAACCATGTACTGTATCCATATCAGGTCTTTTGTTATTAACAAACTCTGTACCCCTCCCCCTATCTGTTATAATTAGTATGGAAATGTAAAAAGAAAAAACACTTCAAAAGGCCTACCTAGTGAAATATCATGGGCTTCAATATTTCTCGCCTGTGACGTGTTCTTAAGGTTCATCCACATCGTGGTCAGATCACTAGCGTAAGGCTCGACGTCAAACGGCAACACCACTCTCTCGGCCAAAATACGCGCCATTTCTGCGAAAGTCCTTGCGATCGCCTGGTGGAATTTGTATTCAGGATCTATGTATGTCTCCATAAGACGGATTGTCTCGTATGACGTGTGATAGAGAGAGTAGAAGTTGATGTTGTAGGTTGCCTATATAGGGGAAAAATGAATGACCTGGTTGTGAATTTGTTGCGTTATAGTCGAATATATAGTTGTATCGTATTATACATTATCATTATCTCTTTCATTTTTCCAGCGAAATAATATCATATGAGGAAGCACTTCGTGTCAGTTTGCAAAATAGTAGGTGAAAGAGATTCACCCTCTGCAAGGATGGATTCCCCCTAGTATTGAAGTGGATTCCATTAATCTTGAAGAAGATTTAACAAGAAACGAAGTGATCATTACATTAATATAATTATGTATGACTCCTTAAGGAAGTAGCTATATAATTACACTCCTCGTCTGTCCTCGATCTGAGATGGTAAATGTCTCTTCTTCCCTGACCCTAAGAAGTCCAAATGCTATCTTATCAGTTTACGATAACTCATTCCATGATTGTTCTTTTGCGTCGTTGTTATATAACATTTGAAAATATGATGACATCACTTACGCTATCGTAGAAATAGTAGCCGCTAATGCACGTCACTCCCAACCTTTTCTCGAAGCCATAATAGTCACTGCCCCCACCAATACGCAGAACTCTGGTGAAAGTGGGAGACAGAGAGAGATGGTGACTACACTTTCATGAAAAGTAAATGGTACCCTGTTACAATAATGCAAGATTATTATTTCCTTGAGCAAAAAAAAAATGATGGCCAACAGTATATTATTTGTAATCATGAAGGTGGTCCTGTATTTTAACAGAATATCAACTTCCTTAATATATTGTAATCTTCTTGCAAGGGACACGTTAAGCATGTTCAGACCCCTCTAAGAACCAGCGATATCATATTGTAAATGCTGAGCAGGGCTATATCCATCCATTATATAATATATTTATTTCGCTTTGCGTGTTTCATATTTATTGGTATACGAAAAATAAATACTTCTACTACTACTGATACATGCATGAGCTGGTACTGCAACATAATACAGTAACAATGTTTAAAACCTAACTCACCGAGGCAGTTCCGGATTTTCCGGATCTGGTTGGCGTTCTAGCATTGTGTCATACACAGTTTTCCGGGTATCCGATGGATCCGGATCAGGCACCTACAAATGTGTATATTTTCCAGAATTGAATTAGCTGCACTTAATCCACTAACAATGCACGTAATGAAAATATCAGGCCTTTTTTATCATCTGTGCTACAAAACCTTTAAATATGTAGTATTAATTTGTAGTTTGACATAAAATTATCTGATAGGCCTACCTCGTTTTCCAGATAATGACTATGCCTGGTTTAAAGTAACCTTTTTCCCGTTGGCATTCGGTGAAACAATTTGGTGTTTTGTTATCAAGATACCAGTGCAAACTGGCGATGGCAAAAAACATGAATTATGTAGACCTTAACACATCATCATAGTGTGACGAAATCTTTCTGCGTCCATTACTTTTTTAATACAAATTGTAAAAACTTTCAGACATACTATTCTAGTATTCCATTTCAAAAGTGTAGGTTATAAACTTTAACAAATCCCGTATAGACTAATTATACTTATCCATCAATTCGTAGCATATTCTTTTAAACATTGGTGACACTATTTCCTTAAACTCGAATCCTCAAATCAATGTTACATGTTTACCATATAGCCAGCATTGATATAATTTCGAACATATTAGTGATAAAACCCTCACAGATCAATGCTATTTTTTCTATCAAAATATTCTACCAAACATAAACATCCTTTCATTATTCGGTGACATTCTTTCATAATACCCGTACATATATATATAAATGCTAGCTGTCTACTTTTCGTTTAACTTAACCGAAGAACAAGGGGGAAAGCCGATATACCTTTCGGGTCGCTTCGTAGACGATCGGCCGTAGATGTGGAGTTGCCGAGGAACGGAGGTAAAAGTTGTCTGATTTAGAGAAAAGGAAACAAGGAGATGGTATTAATCTAATTATAGTGAATGAAAAGGTGATACTTTAATTTTAAGATATAACTTTCAGATTTAGGTGGATTTATATATGTATAAAATGTAGTAAAAATGTGAAATGGGGTTCTGGTCATAATTAAAATGCATGGAAAAGAGCAAGCTCAGAGTTTTTCTCCTAAAAGTCCACCAAGGGAAACCTCAAATTATGTTGTGTTTTTTTTTTTAATTCTATATTTTAGTTTGCTACAAAATTAAAATCTTTCGTAAATCGTAACAAGACGTTTGCCATCTTGCACCACATCGTGGAACGAAAATGAAATTCCAAATTTCTCATCAAGAATATTCCCGTTTTTGCTTAAGTATCACCTGATATCACGAAGTGGCTGGAGCCAAATGGACGCAAAATTATGTTTGTTTGAGTTCAACTATTTTTATTTTTTTTCAGAGAGAATGTTGTTGTAATCTATGGACGATATGCATTGGAGCTCTAGTAAACAATGTGTATATGAAAGGACTATGTATGCATTTTACTCACCCATGACCGCTATATCAAGGTTTAGATATGTTACCGCTCTGTCGGTTAAGATTCGATTGAATTCCTACAGGAGATTTGGAGAGATGGGAAAAGAGAGATGGGGTGATAGAGAAAATACTTTTCCATATGTTCCATATTCCATATATTCATAAAAACTATTGGCGTTTATCATGATTATCACTTTATCGGGCATCGACCTATATCAATTTACATAAAAAATCATTGCGGGAATGCAGATTTTAAAAAGAATATGTGGGTTTTTGTATAAGGTAAGTCTCATTAAATAAAACACGACAACAAATGAAGTGAAACGAAGTAGAAAATAAACCAATGTATCTTATGTCATATCATACACCCCGTCTATAAAACCTATATTTATTTTAGTCACAAATTTTACAAGTGCACAACTCAAACAAACCTATTTTTGAGATTCCATCCAAATTCTAAATTGCGCAATCGCTTGAATAATGGACATTACTTTTTTTCAAGTGATAAAAATTATCTTAATCTATCAGATCACTGATAGCTCTTACCTCTGTCCATTCGATAGAGCCAATCAACCCGTATTCCTCTCCTCCGAACGAACAAAACATCAATGTCCTCCTCGGTCTCCAGCCTGGATGAAGATTACGTAATGCTATCATAAACTATTTGGAATGTTTATCGAAACCACCATCGACCTGCCGCAATTTTTCGATAGGACTAAGGCGCATGATGATAAATTAGAACATATAAATGATGAAATATTTATGTTTATAAGAGCATCTAAAGGCTCAGGCTCAAATAAAATAATGTATCATAACAAAATCCGATTTTTTTTTTTCGTTTTCGTTAAAAATCATAATTTGGTGTGTAAATGAGGGGAGTAGAACAAAACTTCAGTCACCGTATTATATTGAAACTTTAAAAAAAAAAAGAAGATACCATGATTGTATCAACCACGGCAATTATGAGAAGAAAGAGTCCCTTTTTTCTCTTTTTTTCTGAAATATTGTTGTTTTGTTTTGTCATGTGTTGATATATTGTTTTGTTTAATTCCTTCTTCTTTCATTCTATCTTTCTTTTTTAAACATATATATATATATATATATAATATATATATTTAACTAGAATAAATTTAATTCACTCGAAACAATCGCCAATATATTCACCCCAATCATTTAAGTTTCTAATGAATTGCCTTTCAGTACAGTAGTGTTTTGATTGATGAACATCCACTCTTTCTTACCTTCTTTCCTGAGTTGACCGAAAACCCTTGAAATCTCGAGCATTGTCGCCGTCCCACTCGTAGGATCGATAGAACCCAACCCCCATGCATCACGATGATTCCCGATTATGACGTAACGATCTGTCAAAATAATGAATGATTAAATAATTACGAAAAGGCAATACAATTCCCCCCCCCCCCCCCCCATTTTTTGCGAATTAGCTGATATCTGGTGTTATTTTGTTATGTTCTTAGATTTTAAATTAGATGCAGAATAATTTCTTCTTCTTAAAAAGTGGACGAGCATCGCTGGAAAAGGACACTTGACGGAAATGAACACCTAACTAAAACATGGTGGAAAATATTGGTATGCCATTACCTTCACAAATTTATATTATGCCTTTGTAAATAATGCATTAAAGGACTATTCTAATGCTGGAAAAGAGTAGCCTGTAATACATATTTAGTATTTGCGAACGTTAGGCAATAACAGAATGAGATTTATTGCCTGAAAGACAGGAAATAGAAATAAACGCATAAGGTAAATCAGTGTTCTTTTTTAATCGTCTCACGTTCGAAAATACTAACCATTTATTATATTTTTTCTCAACTCCACTGTTTCGGGTTAATCATTTATCGGCATCGAGATATGCCGATATTAGAAACCTTGAAATGTTAAAATTATGTACAAATACCAAGTACAATGCTTATGAATCTCAAACGTGAAAAATGTATACAGCATTCTTAAATTCCCACCTGGTTCTATTTCACCCTTGATGAAACCGACTGTGTTGTAGATCGTATACTGGTCCGAAACAGAGTTGATCACCACCCTCGTTTTCCTGTGTAATAAAACATAAATAAGAATGCACAGTAGCGTACGCAGGATTTTTTCGAGGGGGGGGGGTTAAAATATGAAAACCGTACCGATTTTTTTTGTTTGTTTGTTTGTTTGTTGTTGTTTTTTGGGGGGAGGGTCCAGTTTTTGAGGAAATTTTCGCAACGACTCAGCCAGCCAGTGAATAAGCGGGGGGGGGGGGGGGGGTTCTTCTAAAACACACATTAAACAAAATTGAGAGGGGGGGGGGTAACCCCAGAACCAACCCCCCTGCGTACGCGCCTGAGAATGCATAATGTTACATAGGATTGTCAAACTGGTCCTAAAAGGGCTTAATACATATTACTCTCTTCTTCAGTTTCCCTAACATACATTGCTCTCTTAGTAAAAGAAAAAGCAGACCCCCGAAAGGCAAAAGACTCCTAAGCGATTAATCCTTGAATCAGCAGGTTTGAATATTATTGATCCAAGAGTATATACCTTTTTCACGTTTCTTTTATACCTATATTCGGGAATGGATAACCAACCAATCTGACAGATATTAGTTCTGTCTGTTCAATAAGAAATGAAAAACTTACACTGTTTTCCAAAATTTACAGTTATTAATTAATATTGCTAATGATGTTGGCAAATGTTTTTTTTTCATGAACAAAAATTAGTCTTATAGGCATTATTTGAGTGTCACATACTCGTTACTGAAAGTATCACGATTATTACATTTGACCTACTATTCTATCATACTGCGCCAATAATATGATAGTTAATTTGTAATAAAACGTTCAGCATATTCATAGAAGAAAAAAATATTTAATCCCGAATATGATTTTTCTTACATTTTTCAAATATTCTCGCTCTACATCTTTCTTAAAAATCTCCCATCACCTTTCAAGCTCACTACATCACACGGGTTTTGAAATTTACTTACATTCCTTGGTATGTGGCACTGAACCCTGGACCTATTGGGTAGCTGGTGTTCAAACCGCCAAGCCAATCATCCCGAGGTGAAGGACCTGCCAAAGCTCTGTCATGTTCATGGAAAGAAATTAATAGCAAAACGATTATTAATACTTTTCGATAATATCAACCTAGGGAAAGTAATTTTATTGGCCTTTCATCACCTTTTGAAAAATGTGAACATTAGGATGACAATCATATTCACGTTATCTGAACATGATTTTTTATAGATTATAAGGTGTTGAGATTGGATCCACCACCAGTAATGATAATGCTACTATACTGCTACTAATTATGATAATAATGAATAATATTAAACAATTTCTTCTCACTTTATGAGCGTCTCAGCATCACCAAACCCTACGGGATGGATGGGTATTTTGGGTAACTCGGAGTCGTTCACAGACCTCCTGTAGGCAAAGTCTGTAGAGATATACATAAAAAGTGGGTGGGCATGATTGTGAGCATGGGGTGAGAGAAAGAGATATCCAAGCAGAGACAAAAGACAGAGAGAGAGAGAGAGAGAGAGAGAGGGGGGGGGGGCAGGTGTTATACAGATTACTAACTAACTATAGCTAACCAAATAAACAAACACACAAATAATGAAACTAATAAGTATAAAAATAAATAAATATTTAGATGAATGAATTATTACATTAATTAATTAATTAATACAGTAGTAGAAACATAAAGAATAAATACATGAATAAATAAATCAAGTAACAAATAATAAATGAATAGAGAAAAACTAAAGAATGAAATAAATTCAGATAGAAAGAGGGAGAGAAAGACAGGAAGACAGAAAGAAAAAAAAGTACCTCGGGCCGGGTAACCTGGGGTCAGTGGGTCTCCAACATCATTTTTGATGGAGCCCCTCTGCCCCGATGTGCTTGGGAGGAATTTCCCATCCGGGTAGGGGAGTCCTATTTCTGGCCCAACCGAGTAGTCGGCAGGGTCCGTATACATGAGCAGGGCCACACAACCAAAGTTATAGGCGTTCGTGGCCTGACAAACAAATGATACGTAGTAATAAATCATTAAGTTGTATGTTGTGTTTGTACAGTCAAACCTGTCTTTGTAGACAAGTGGTCTTTATAGACGATGATGATGATTCACAGCATATTTTGTATGGCGCCATATATCTGTTTCAAAAAACATTCAAAGGCGGAAGCTCCTCCAATAAAGTTAATATTTAAATTTCTGAAGGAAGATGTGAGTTTGAGTGAAGTTTTGAAGTGGACAGGCCCCTTTGGTACATGCTTGAATGAGAAACCATTTTCAAGGGAAACAAAATATGTGGTCTTTGTAGACAAATAGTCACTAAAGCAGGTTTGACTGTATTTGTATTTATTTAGACACTCCGTTTAAGACCTGATATGTTCGGGGATGCAGAAAAAGGTTTGAGAAACCCCTAAAGCGCTGCATCCCCGAAAAGTATGTAAGCGTTTACTATAATTATGCTTTATCGATTGATTTCAGCTGATATACCTTGCGTCATAAATAATTTTATTATTTCTTACAGCTTGGAGAAACTGCAGTTTTAAATGAGCCAAGATGTTCTCCTTCGTTAATGTTGCACTCTAAAAAAGATTTAAATTGTAACAATTGAAACAAGAAAGAAAATATAAGTGGAGAGAGACGAAAGGCAGAAGAAGAAAGGGAGAGAAAAGATAGGGCCCCAATTCATGCACTCTAACCTATAAATCAGGGGCCTTGTAAATTCGTAATTCATTTTCAAAGTCTCTCCCCCCCCCCCGATACAGTGCCCCATTCAAAAGCAGGACTTACGCTACGCCTCTAGCATAAAATGATTTGTGTTTACCTTGGTGTACCATCCCGCTCCTCCGTGTCTGGAGATGGCAATCTTGCCGGTGAAGTCGAGGGTGGGGTCCAGCTCGTCTAATATGTACTCATAGTCTTCGACCCTTCCAAAGTTGACGTATACCAAGTCACCCTGTATGAGTGACAGTGCAAAACATACTTCAGAGCCTCGTCTTACCGTAAGAGTTACGATTGATACGAATCAATCTTAATTCCTCAAATCAATCGCAACTTTAAAATTAATATTGATTCCATCTCATGAAAACTTTTGGGAAAGTATCAATCGTGTAACTCTGTGTAAAGTTATACAATAATACAATCGATCGCAAGTTGATATTGATATTACAATTATAAATAAGACGGAAACCTCCGAAAAATTGCAAGATGATATCAATCGGAGCTGCGATTGGTACTTGATATTGATATCAATATCAAGCTTTAGGAATCACAATTATCAAGGGCAGAAATCGCCCCTAAAACGTGGAGTGGACTCAGATTTCTCTGAGAATCAAGCAAGCAAGCAAAAGTAGTCATTTCATTATGGTCGTATTGGAAAATATTCTGACTAGAGAGTCACTTTGGGGGCACAATAAAAGCCCATAAATCATGGGAGGACAGAGTGTGCCCCGAGCTGCTGCCCTTTCCCAATCGTTTCTTGACAACTCTTCCTCCCATACTATGTTTAATTATGATAACTATGAGTGCGAAATGAGCATCCACATCTGCCGCCAATAGAATGATAATTATCGTATTTCGTATCCTTTCCTCATTTTATAGTATTGATTTCAAACATCACTCTTATTGTCATTATCAGCATGAAACTGCATTGATAAAGGTTACTAGCATCGTATCATTCATTTTGCTCTTATTATTCTTAAACTAGACATAAATTGACAGTATATTTTCTGTTACCATGACAAGTGGCACAGCTAAAGGGGCACAGGTGCATGTGCCCCCCCCCCCTTCCCTCCAAAACTAATAATCAAAGAGACTAAGAGAGAGAGAACAAAAGACTAGGCATGATGGGGGAGTAACTCTCTCACATTGTTTTACCTTTATCTTTCGCATTCCATCCACCAAATAAATTTCCATAGCCTCCTCCCACCCCCCTCCATTTACCTTCGAGCACTCACCGTCACATCACCTGTGGCTGAGTAAGCATTGAATGGCGGAGGGATATCGGGCTGCAATAATTCGTCTTCTCCGAATGGATCCTCCCGTAGCGCTGATTCAAATGCTACGTTGCCATTGGCTGGGTCTATGATTTGAACCTAGGGGAAACAAATATAATTGGTTTTGGGGGATTTTTTTTCCAAGGAAAACATGCAGAATAATTTTATAACTGCATTGACTTAGTCGCATCGCAAAGCCCCTCCCCCCCCCCCAAAAAAAAAAAAAAATTAAGAAAAAAATAAAGAGAGTGAAATAAAGGGCGGGAAGAAGGATACAACGGTTACAAGAAAATAAGAGCGTTGCTCACCCTCTTCCCTTATCTCATGTACGTAGTAATTAAGACCGGTGACCCCCCTCCCCCCCCCCCCCCCCTCACCCTCAATGGCTGGACACACCCCAGGTTACGGTACTGACAAAGTACGAATCTCTCTTGTAATATAACAGGTGTCTGGGAGATGGTAACATAATAGTTCATGCACTTGACTCCAAATGTTGATGATTCGAATTCCAACCCGGCACTATAAGGTCCTTTGGAAAGATATTAATCAAAATTTGCCACTCCCCACGCAGGCGTAATGAGGTGCCTGGCAATGACTGTATATACGAATTCTAGGGTCCTCCAAAAGAACAGCATTGATACTGATGAGGCTGCCCTGGGTAAATTATTTTTGTTCTTCTCGTTATAATTGCACACTTTACCTTGTTAGCTAATTCTTCGTTGTCGGGTGATGGAGGATGTTGAAGATAGACCTTATATGGGACCAATTCAGCCGAGTCTAGTCCTTGGTCTATCCAGGCCCTTCTGATGTCATCGGCACCTTCTCTGTCTGCGGGAGTTCCAGCAACGTGTGGTTTCCGTGCGTAATACCTGACAAATTTAATAAATTATTTCTTTTTTTGCAATACAAATTTTTCATTCTCGGAACACTCACAAAGACTTTCGAAAAAATAAAAGTGTGGACGTTGCATCAACATAACATAGGGTCATAGGCTAATCCATACTTGATTTCTAATTGCCAAAATTATAATGGCCCTTGGGTTGATGTCGTGTTCACATTGCATAGTGTTTTTTGTGATCAAACATCCGATTCGAATTATTTTGTTATTCACTGTCAATTTTTCTTTTTTAATATTTTTGTATAAGCCGCGCCTTATTTTATATTGTTCCTTCTTATGTTCAAAACTGTATATTGCATTCTTATTACGACGTCGTTAATTGAAAACAAACACCCAATAGGGCAGCAACCTTGACGGGAGCAATTGCTGATTTTGTTTTTAGGGGAAATATATTTATGTTTCGGATACATACAAGCTGGGTCGGAAATAGCCACTCCATCTCCGTTAAACCGACACTCTGCATGCCTTGTTTCCATTTCCTAAAACAATCACAATGTACATTTTATGTCAATTATCGACAGCAATTCTGAAAACATGCATGGGCAATGATCCACATTCACCTCAAACTGATGGAGGCGAAAGAAAAATATTATCCTATTGACTATCAACTTTGGTTTACAAAAAGAAAATTATTTACACCCCCACGCCCCCTCCCCTCCCCCCCCCCCCCCAAAAAAAAAAATTAAAAATCAGATTTTACAAAATATTGAAATAAGAAACTCATGTTATTCAGATGAACAGGCTCGAGGCAGACTCCGCCATGGATTGCCGATTACAAGCCCTTTCAGACCTACCCCCTCCCCTAATCCCCCCCCCCCCCCCAAAAAAAAGCTCCCCTAAAGACATGAATTCCATACACTCATGATCTGAGTAGACGGATTATTATCACGCATCACGATGCAAGGCAAGATGGCGTGTCAATCATGGAAAAACCGGAGCTCATATACCTTACATCCCCATTTGAAACCCCGAGAAATTAATGCATGACGATATATTTATTTTAAAAAATAACGAAATAAGAAACCTACTATCTAATGGTGGTCATATTGTGTTTCTTATTTCGTTATTTTTTTAATTAAGTATTATCGTTATGCATTGATTTCCCGGGGATGGAGTGGCCTCGCACGACCGTTTATCAATTCCTTGGTACACTACTTGGCATAATTCAGATTGGATGGAGTGTAAACAAACTTAAGGCCCGGTCTCACCGCCAGAACTTTGCTGGAGCGTTCCTTGAACGGTAGGGAGAGGGGGCCGAATTTCGACAACGCTCGTCACCGCGCACAAAATGGGAAACAAATCGAAAACACGGGCGTTGCCTTAGCGGTGCACCGCTGAAGCCGGCGTTGGTTTAGCGTTGGTTTAACGGTAGCGAGCGGTAGCGAGCGTTGGTACCGCTCCGACACCTCCATACCAACGCCAAACCAAAGTTCTTCACCGCAATGGATCGCTGTTTCAACGCCCGACACCGTTCCAGCAATCCCGTGTCCACTCGCAAAACGCTTACAATCGCTCCACCAAAGTTTGTGCAACGTTTAATCACCGCCCGGGCAAAGCTGGCGAAGCAGCGGTGGTCCAGCGTTCAAGATTTCTGCGTTGGCCTAGCGGACCAAAGCGTCCACGAACTTGCGTCTAGCGGTGCCAAACTTTGACGTTGTTGGAGCGGTGGTGAACTTTGCCGGAGCGGAAAATTGCCCGCTCCTCACCGCTCGCAATATTTTATGCAGCTCAAAACTTTCGGAGTGGTAGGAGGGACCATCAGCGGTGGCCGAGCGTATACGGCGTTGCCTTAACGGGGGCCAACTTCTGTTAAACGGTGGTGAACGGTTACGAGCGGTGATGATTTTTTTTTCACCGCTCCAGGAACGCTCCAGCAAAGTTCTGGCGGTGAGACCGGGCCTTTACAGTTTATGGCATATAACAGGCATGAGGGTTCATCATAAACTATTCATTAGGGAAGATCAAAGGGCAAATGAACGTAAAATTGATATCAAACATTGTAAACTAGCTTTATATGGAGTTTATTTATCACTAATTGACTATTGAGGTATTTACAGAGTTGATACACCCTTGTACTTGTGAGTACATGCCAACCACACGATAAAAGCTCGATAACTAACGTTAAGTGTTTTATAAATTGTTATCAATCATTCTTAATCTGTAGGCCTACTTATAAGTAACCCGACATCTTTATATCGCCTACATTTTAATATTGCAAGGCATGCGTTAACAGTGATTAAAAATCCAGGAAGGTGAATATAATTGTGCTTTTTACAGACTTCTAAAAGAGTAGTTTAGTATCATACACTGTATAGCACAAACCATTAAACTAAACAGATAGACAAATACCCCTTTTTTTAATACAATAAAAAATGATTATAGTTTTGAATATTCTATCACACAAAAATAATAAAATGTCAAGGAACCAAAGAAACAAGATAAGCAAAAGCTCAACTTGTGGATCATAATTACTCCTTCTTCATTTTAATTACTTTATTCCTTTTAATTTATTAATACAATCCTCTTCCATGCCTTCTCCCCCCCCCCATACAATATCCCCACAATGTTAAACAAAAACCCAGTGAAACCCGCTTTCACATCCATCTGTACCGTCATAACACAGGTGAGGGCGACACAACCGCCCTTCCTGCATTGAGAATTGTTTTAATAACTTGTCTAGGGGCAAAGATGCTACCCGTTATACTCCTTCGAAACATGGGAAGGGTTGGTGCATGAAGATTTTTTTTTTCTTTCTCCATCTTCCTTATTGAAAATGCTTCCTAAAATATGAGGCAATTAAAATTTCCTCCCCCTTCAGAATATTCTAGATCCGACCCTGGTTTGAAAACCACTGAAAGACACCAATCTTTTTAGTTACCCCTTAGAACAGCATATTCATTCACTTTGCTGTCAACTCATTGGCATTGTCTACTTTCCACGGTATTAAAGTCTAGCGGAATTGTAGTCAACGATTTAATATTTTATCATTATTATGTATAGGCGTATACTGTCATTTATATTTTCTCACCTGAGGTTTTCCCGGATTTTTTCGGTGCTGATTTCTTCAAGGATTCGATCCGCGATGCTCTCATCCGATGGCCTGGTTTCGGGGTTTGTGTACTCCCCCTCCCCAGGAGCGCTGAAGTACCCTATCAGCACCCCTACCCCAACACCAACACACAGGGCCGTCACACCAACAACCACCTGAAGCGTCCGGGGTTTCATCCTGCAGGTCGCAAAATGAGCCACTGCACTAATTGCTTTCAGATTAAGTTTTAGTATATAGGCCTACACCGGCCGTGGACTTTGCTTGGTTCTGGTTATAATATTCCAATTAGACAAAAGTAAAAAGTGGGTCAGGGTATGTCAACGCCCCCCCCCCCCCCCCCGGCTTCACCTGAAACTAGGAGAAAGAGGGGTGTAAACATTGCTTCAAGAGCGGGAGTGGGGGAAACGAAGAGTAAAATGGGGGAGGTTTGACGGAGGCAGGGTTTTTATTATTTTTATACAAAAAGAACCTCCCCCCAAAGGATTTCTTACCAGTCATTCATTATTCTGTTCAAGTGTAACGGCAATGTAAAAAAAAAATTCATGAATACACGAATGTATGTATCTGTTCATTCGTTTGTTTGTTTCTTTGCTCGTTGGTTTGGTTGGGTTTTGTGTGTTTGAACGGTATGTTTAGTTAAACAAAACAAAATGTGCTCCTACCACCCCCCCCCCCCCCCGCCGCTTATTCAGCGGCTGGCTGAGTCGTTTTGGGAGCAAAAAAAAATAATATATATGTCCTCTTACCCCCCCCCCCTTCCCCCTGGGGAAGAAATTCCTGGATCCGCCCCTGCCTCCCTCCCCCCCCCCCCCCCCCCCCCTAGAGAGGGACAGATTTGCACTTTGGGTGGATGTCAGACTTTATATGCCGCTTTTGCCATCGGAAACATTGATTTACACTCTAGTTTTGTAATTGGTTTAGTTTTTAATTTATTTATCTTTTCTTTTTCAGAAACATCAATTATATACTTCTCACCTTTAATACCACGTTTCATGTTGTTGTTGCTGTCTCTCTCGATCTAGAGAGTGAAAGTCTATTATATGTATTGTTTTGTTTTCATTTGTTTTTGTGTGTGGTTTTTTGTTGTTATTGTGTTGGAGTTGCATGTTCAATAGAAACCAGGGGGTGTTTCATCAACTAAAATCGATTTCGATTTTAAAATCAATTTTAATGCCGAATCAGTTTTAGCTTAAAACCGATACATGTGAGCTGTTTCATCAAATCGATTTTAAGCTAAAATAGATTTTTAGGTGTCTGCAATCAAGGCTAGTCAATTTGGGGTAAATCGATCACAAAATGGCCTTGCTTAACTACAGTGAGAGTCCTTGAAAAGTAAGTAAAATCTGTTTTTCTTTGAAAATATCAATTCTGTTGATAACAAATCTGTTATTTTGGAAGAAGAAAAATGTTCCTCTCATTATTATGCAATTTCATTTTGTGTAACTGAACGAAATCTTAAATAAAATCAATTTATATCACTCTCCAAGTGGACGAATTGCACCGGTTCAACCATTTTAGTCCCACTCATATAAATTCATGCAGGTTTGACAATAGTAATTACGTAACGACGTTTATTATTCGGTTAGGACAGACAGGTACAAACTCATTAGTCTAGTTTATTCTTGCAGTAGTATTGTGGTTTTACTAGTTATGCTACTAGGTCTAGGTCTAGTTGTAGATTTGGGCTTAAAATCAAGATCTAGGCCTAGGCCCTAGACCTAGACCTATCCCTTATTTATTTTAGGCTTAGCATTGTCTTGTTTTTGTTGATATAGGTCTAGATCTAGACTAGTCTAGATCTAGATCTAGACTAAGTCTAGATCTAGATCTAGTCTAGATCTAGACTTCTATTCTAGGTCTAGATTCTAGTCTAGATCTAGACCTCTAACGGTTAGAACTAGAGTCTAGAGATTAGTCTAGTCTAGGTCTAGATTTTCTAGACTGTAGATCTAGACTAGAGTCTAGTCTAGTCTATAGATCTAGGCCTAGGGTCTAGATCTAGATCTAGACTCTAGGTCTAGATCTAACTTTAGGCCTAGGGCTAGGCCTAGGGCCTAATTATTAAAATCAATAGAATAGGATTATTGTTTTGAAGGTAAATTTTATGACAGAAAATTAGACTCTAGATCTAGATCTAGATCTAGAGTGTTACTGTCAGACCCAGGTCTAGATCTAGATCTACTCTAGATGTAGATTTAGTCTAGAGTCTAGGTCTAGATCTACATGATACTTGATAGATCTAGATCTAGGGTAGATGTAGACCTGTAAGTGAGGTGGGGGGGGGGGGGGGGGGGGGGGGGGGGGGGGGGGGGGGGGGTATTTTTTTTTATTTGGCAGGGGGGGGGGAGGTCACACTTATTTTTTTTTTATTTGGCAGGGGGGGCACGTCCCTGTTGTCAGTACATTTTTGGAAAATTTTGCTGATTTTAACATATTTTTTTTTGGGGGGGGCCGGGGGAGGGGAGCACATGCCCCCTGTGCCCCCCCCCCCCCTTGATCCGTCCCTGGTATTAGGGTCCTAACACAGTCCAACTCCAAGCTCTAGACTATACTAGAATTTTTTTTTTTTTTTAATTTTTTTTATTTCAGAGTCGGACTAAAAGATGGAGTGGACCACAAGTCCTATCCATCAAATAGACCTTGGCTTTAGTCCAAGACTCAAAAGTTCTCTTCTGCCGTGTCTCTACAGTCTTGGACTTCTCATTCTTCCTGGCCTCAGGCTCAAAGAAAGGGTTCGGATATGCAGAATGTACTCAAGCTCAATGTCTAGGTGTACAGCTATAGATCCTACTGTGCTAAGCGGCTGGTGGAGTGATCATCTTACTAGTAACATTTGCACACCAATAATAAAACAAAGGTAAGTTTTTTTTGTGTGTGGTTCTTCTAGACCTATGTATAAATAGATTACTTATTTGTTGTTGAGTGTGTAAATCTTGATTTTCATTAAATTTTCTACGTATAATCGCAAACTGATAAATCCATGTGAGGGGGAAGTCAACTATGACATGTCTAAATCTAGATAAATTACTTCATCAGCCAGCCTGATTAATATTGTACAAATAATAGGGCAGCAATTAATGAATAAAGAGGTGATTGAACAAACTGTAATGAGAATATATGTATGATGAAAGTTGCTCTGTTTGTTTTATACCTCTTTGTCTTCTACTCACGACGGGGGAATGTTCATTGAATCTGTGTACAACAGTGTTTGGTTCAAGAGCAGGGTATCCGAGATCAAGATTAGACTCCATAGTCAATCTTCCAAATGTCTAAAACTTACAATTTGGTTGGTAACAATGTCTTGGACCGAATACATGTAAATTACTGTTGTAATTACTGATAAAAATGTGCTTATGTTCTTTGAACACATTTGATACAGTGACAATTACTTTTCTGAAAAATAGATGTGCTCTCTCATCACCAATATATGTATCTCTGTTTTAAATCCTAGGTTGCAAAATAAAGAGCTATGGCATCTGCATGTACTGCTAGTTCATAACAAATGACATTTATTGTCAATCTCTTCAAATTGAAAAGGTAAGCAGTATCAATTACCAAAATTGATCTATCATTTTTCATAATCCTTGTAAGAAGTCTAATACCCATCTTACCCATTCTGTTAGATAAAACATACACAATGGTAATGAAGGATATTTTTTTTTTATCCAAAGCAAACAATTAATCATTTATATTCTGTAACTATTTTTCATTCTCCTACTTTATTTATTTAGCAATTAAAGTATTTGAAATAATCATAAATACAAAAAATGAAGATTAATTGAAAAGTTGTACTAGTATTGAGTAATTGATTCATTATACATAACTTTCAATTCCTATTCTAGACTGCAGAGCCTGAATTACCTGCAACGTTATGCTTCTTATGAAACATCAGCCAGCCTACAGATAGAAGCTCCCTTTTCCAGCTTTAAGCAGAGGAACCACAGGTATACAGATCTTGGTATCATGGACTGGTCACTTTTTACAACAAACACTACTTGTAAATAAGATTTACGAATTAATTCCTATAAGCTATTAAAAATGCTCTAGTCAAGGTACTAACATTTTGCCATCGAGTTTGAGGTTTTGGGTTTTGATAAAATGTTAACATAAAATATTTTAAAGGAAGTAAACGTTTTAAATGATACTTCCAAGATTTCCTATATTTTAAACAGATTTTAGAATCTTGCAGAAGAAAAGAGAAGAAATAAAGCTATTATTCTGTCATGGAGGTTTTGTTACCAAACTCACATTACATAGATAATTTTGTTCATGGCAATAAATCTTAAAATATCAAATTGGAATTTCTTAATTAGCAATTCATCTGAGCAACAGTTTGATGACCTATTTGGAACTCTTCCTAGAGGCACTTCTTGCATGACTATGTATCGATATTACCTGTTGGTGCTTAAAGTGCTATTGTAGCAATTGCACAACAACAAATACAAAATAACAACAGAACATTGTGATTGAGTGAAAACAGATTTTTCTGCAGGAAATATTTCACTCTGACTTATGTTGTCCTTAGAATTTTTGGTCAAAGCTGATAGAAAAGAATTGATGATTAATTTCATATAGACAAACTATTGCATCAGAAACCACATTCTCACCGACTGCGTGACCTTACATGACAATGTATAATCATCCTTAGATTAACAACCGTATGAGTAACAGAAATATTTGTGACAAGTATTGCTCTTTTAATCTCCATAAAGGTACCTCGAATAGAAAGTGGATATCAGCTGCAGTAGTTTTAAACATGCTGATACTTTCATAGGAGCACTTTATTTGTGTCATTTAAAATATTGTATGTGTTTGCTATGCTCATCATTTACAAATGTAGATTTCATTCTTGAATGTGTTTGCTATGCTCATCATTTACAAAATGTAGATTTCATTCATTAAAGCATAATCATATTGATTATACTTTAAAATCTGTGTTAATTTATTTTGTATGTATTTTTGTCTTTTAAGAAGATAAAAGGGGAGGGGGGGATGAATAGATGAGATTGTATATGGTAATAATAATTACCTGATGATAAAGGGCAATGATGTGATTCAAGAATGGTGTGTTTGTATGCTGGTTTATTTATTCATTTTTGTTCTTTATTTTTTTTTGTGGGGGAGGGGGGGGGGGGTGTTCATGAAGAAACAAAATTACGGCAAGCAAAGCGTGATGGAGTGTCATTTTATGTTAATGAGAGAGAGAGAGAATATGAAAGAAATAAGACACATAATTGTAAGCGCATATGGTAAAAAAATTAGAAAAAGGGGCACATAACAAAATGAAAAGGGGTCACTTCTAAGAGAAACATAAAAAGTTATTAGAAATAACAAAAAGAACTTTAAACAAGTGAAATGGGACAAACTACATGAAGGAAAAGTGCACTTGTAATAACAAAAAGGATGTTAATCAGATGTAAAAGGGGCACTTGAACCCTATCTAGCATGGGTTATTTTGAAACTGCATAGCCTGGGGGGTCGGGCCCTCCCCCTGGAGAAAAAACGTGTAAGAACACGTTAACTGTACCTTTTTTTTTGGAGATGTGCCCCCTCCCCTGGTGCTCAAGGTGGGGGGGGTTGCGATTTTTCAAATTTTCGAGGGCCCCCCCCCCCCCCCCCCCCAGGCTAGATAGGGTTAAGGGGAAAACGGGCCGCCCATGTATTTTTGAAGAAAAAAATGGGCCATTGTGCTCCCCCCCCCCCCTCCAGAGTGCCACATTTGGTATTATTAGTGCCTAACTATGATGATTTAAAAAAAAAAATTGGTTATGAACAAAGATTTATTCCCCCTAGAACATAATTCTTCATTTTCAGATGTATGTTAAAATTGAAGCTAGCCGACACTTGCGCCTTTGAAACCAATGAATGCTGAACATAGCATAACAATAATGCAATGAATAAGGATAAAATTGATTTAAAATTGATATGGATCACACTCTAACTTAAAATCGATTTTAAGGCCAAAATCGATTTTATTTATTTAGTGAAACTGCTGCTAAAATCGAAATCAATTTTAAGCCCTTAAAATCGATCAAATCGATTTTAGATCGATTTTAGGGCTTTAGTGAAACACCCCCCAGATCGCGTACGAGCATTAGTTTATCTAGCCTTACTTTGAATTTTGTCGGAGAAAGGGCAAAATATGTCAGCGGCGTATGTAGCGACCACTCACTCGAACTGGGCGCGTTGCGATTGGAGAATAATAACTACGACTGGAACAAGGCTAGACTTGGATGAGGTGCCTGCCCCCGAACTTCATTCTTTGCCTCGTAAGTTCTTGATTATGCCGAAAATTCACTTTTTTTAAAGCGCCTTTGTGTATTCTAATGAATAGATAGTCGTACTATTTGGCTAAATTTACAAATAAACACTTTCATTCCTCAAATACTTGCAACGAAATCGTAAACATTTTGTACAGTCCCACACCCGCATTTAATTGTAAGATTATTATCGATTCACCCATTCTAATTCTGGATTCTGAACTAAGCTCAAACCGGATTGAGCTGAGTTCAGCTGAGCGTATTGTTGATGATGTTGCTGCCAGTCCTACACGAACAATGTATGAGGTCTAGCCATAAATGGTATTGTTACTGCTGCTGTTTTTTGCTTGTTCTCCTTCTGGCTTCTTCTTTTTCTCTTTCTTCTTTTTCTTCTTCATTTTCTGCAATTCTGCTCCTGGCCCTTTTCCCTGTTCTTCTCCTTCATTTTTTCTGCATCATCCTCCTCCTCTCCTTCCTCCTCCTCGTCCTCGTCCTCCTCCTCGTCCTCGTCCTCCTCCTCCTCCTCCTCCTCCTCCTCTTCCTCTTCCTCCTCCTCCTCTTCCTCCTCCTCCTCCTCCTCCTCCTCTCCTCCTCCACTTCTCCTCCTCTTCCTCCTCTTCCTCCTCCTCCTCCTCCTCCTCTTCCTCCTCTTCCTCCTCTTCCTCCTCTTCCTCCTCTTCCTCCTCCTTCTCCTCCACTTCTCCTCCTTCTCCTCCTCCTCCTCCTCCTCCTCCTCCTCCACTTCTCCTCCTCCTCCTCCACTTCTCCTCCTCCTCCACTTCTCCTCCTCCTCCTCCTTCTTCCCCCTCCTTAACTCTTCCCATCCCATCCTTGTTCAGCTCCTCATTTTCTTCTTCTCCTCCTTCCCTACTCCCCCCTTCTCATTCCTTTTCCTCTTCTTGCTCCTTCTGCTTCTCCTCCCCTCCATTTTTCACCTTCATCTTTGCATCGTCTTCCTTCCCCATTCCTCCTCCTTCCCATTCTCCTACTTTTTCTTTTTCCTCATGTGTGATGTTTGCACCATAAATGCATATCTAAAATCTGTTCATCTTCTCAAGTTTATTTTCTCCCCTTTTTATATCATTCAAAATGTGTAATTTCCAGCTTAACTACATGTACAATGGATCTCCCCAAAGAAACTCAGTGTGCAGTTCTGTGTGGTATCAAGGACATCAAAATGGTGAGTTTCTAAAAACATTAAAAGATAGATCCAAAATCGATTGCATTAAATGACATCTGAATAAGTTTGGCCAAGTATCTCTTTGGTTTGGCTAGGAGGGATTAGACTGTCACCACCCAGGGTGGTCACTGACATGTGGCTATCTCATCAACTCAGAAAAAGAGGATCATGGGGGACCAATGGTCACTGATTTAGCAATGTTTTTTATAGAGGGAGCAAGTAGGCTTTAACAACCCCCCCCCCCCTCCTTCCAAAATAAATTTATTTAAAAAAAATTATATGAAAAGAAGAACTTTCAAGAGAAAAAATATTCAGTGATACAGTGGAGGAAGGCTTTTTTTTATTAACTGAACATAGCCTTTCAATAGTACATGTAATGTTTAACTATGTATCCTCTTTCTCTCTCTCTCTCTTTCTTTTTATTTGTCTTTCTCTCAATCTGTCTGTCTATCTGTCTATTTATGTTTCTCTTTCTCCTTTTGTCCTAATTTAGGAACAACGGCCTGTTACATCACCTGGACCAAATGGTAATTATTTCCCCTTGTGTAATTATTTATGGCCAATTGATATTTACAAATTAATCAAAACATACATTGTAACTTTATTAATATTTTACTTCTGACAGGTATAGTTGTCACCATAATTCATAAAATTGAGAACATCAGCCAAAATTTTTCTTTTGTACCAATTTGATGAACTCAGATTGACACCCTCCCATATATCTCTTGCAGAAAAAAAATCAGTATGGATTGACCATTATAGTTGAGTTATTGGTGATATTAGTAATATTGATGACATAAAATTATTTTTATCTATCATCAGTAGATTGAGTGATGTTATGACATAATTTAAAGTTATAGGTTTATTCACTAAGTTAGAAATTACTTTCCCATTCACTGTCTCCCTCTCTCTGTGTCCCCCCCCACCCCCCCCCCCCCCCCTCTTGAAATATTATTGAAATATAGTTGCATTCATCTATGTTGAAACAAGTTTTTAAACATTTAAAATATGAACTATTACTTTATGTTTTCTCAGAGGTTCTGCTTGCTGTCCACTCAGTGGGCATATGCGGGTCTGACCTCAAGTACTGGTCACATGGTACTGTGGCCGCTTTAAGCTGACCGCTCCTATGGTCATAGGTCATGAGGCTAGCGGCACGGTGGCGGCTCTCGGCCCAGGGTCAAGCATTTAGAAGTCGGTAGGTGGTAACTCTTGTATGTACCTCCAGGATTAATTGCATATATGGATAGACTTCAAAATTAAGGATGCATCGCAAGAAATATTCAGAAAGTTGTTGTAGATGGAAAGTAAATGTTATTTATTTGCTGAACACAGACCCATTGCAATTGCAAACACCATGATTCTATCATCTGACTATAGTGTACTTTGGAGAGGATTTCATTTCATGATTTTTTCTGATTTTGTAATGCATTTGCAAACATGAACATGTATTTTGAGTAACCGAGGTTAATTATCATTAAAACAACAACTTGCCATAAAAGGATCATCTGTATGACAATTTTTTTTTAAATAGGAGCACATGCCTAATGATTGATGATTTTAGCAATCAAAATTTGAGTTTGCTACAGTGGAATCTATCAGTAGCAGGACAAAATCAGTCAAATTATAATAACATTTTTTGTATTTCTCCCTCTCTCTCTCTCTCTACAGGTGACCGTGTAGCTATAGAGCCTGGGGTGCCATGTAGGATGTGTAGCCTCTGCCGAGTGGGCAAGTACAACCTGTGCAAGGACGTTCAGTTCTGTGCCACACCTCCCGTCGACGGTAACCTGTCTCAGTACTACCTCCATGCAGCTGACTTCTGCTTCAAGTGAGTGTAAACGTGGATAATAATAATAATAAACCATTCTTATATAGCGCATATCATAAAAATAAAGTCCCTATGCGCTTAGAAAAAAGGAAAGGATAAAAGCAGACATGATGGAAGAGAAGAGAAAGAATAACTGCTTTGTCATAACATTATACTGTTTTAACAAATGAAAAAATGAAGATGTTTGGTTCATTTAATGATTCTTTGGATGTTGCATAAACAGCCATATTGCTATTCCCAATGCTGTAACTACCGGTATGTGGAGGCCATAGTTAGGGATCCTTCACTATGGTAAAGCAGAAGATTTCTGTATATTTGGAACATTATTGTTATCCAGGCACTATTTTTTTAATGTTTTTAACAAAGTAAAAGTAGGAAGTCTCAGTTCTGCCTTATTGCTACTCACTTCTGCTTGAAGTGAATGCTCCTTCCTGATCTCTTCCTTCTAGACTTTCATCCAATGTAAGCTAATAGGAGGGGCTCTAGCTAAACCCCTATCAGTGGTTAATGGGTTATTAAACTCATCACATCTAGCTACAAGTATTTATAGCCTCCCTTTCAATGTGTCCTTTGCTCCCTTTTAGACTTCCATCCAATGTTAGCTATGAGGAGGGGCCTAGTTAACCCTATTTAGCCCGGGCTATTTTGAAACTGCATAGCCCGGGGGGGGGGGGGGGCTTCTCAGGCCCCCCCCCCCCCTATGATCTCGGCCGTGAAACGACCGATCGCCGCGAAAATTTGCATACATGTCAAGTGAAGTGTATAGATTACTATGGTAATTTCAATTTTTTGAAAAATTCACTCATTTGCATATTTATGGTAATTTATGCAAATAAGGTCATCAAATTCACATTTTTGCCCATAAATCAGACATTATTCATATTTAAGCATTCTTTCTCACTACATATATTTGTTAGACCATTTGGAATAATAATACAACACAAAAAATTGAAAACCAGGGTTATTCTTTATGTTATCTATTGTTTTGATAATTTCTTATGTATTTCTTTGTTTTTTTAACTCATGTATTTTTATTGTTTTTGTTGTTTTATTTCATTTCCAACTATAATTCAACTATTTTGACCCCAAAATAAACACCTCAACTTAAACAAGACCAAATAACCAATGTTTTATCTCTTTATTTGAAAAAAATGAGATTTCCATATGTTTTGTACACAAATCACAAAATGAGCGATTTTCGGGCTGACATGCAAAGACAAAAGGTCATGTGACTTTGTAATGGTAGGTCCGATTTTCGAAAAATTTCTTTCAAAAGATGCGCAAGACTCGAAAGAAAAAAGTCACAAATTTCAGTGCAAGATTTTCTTGCGTTAAAAAATTATCGCGAAAAATGTCGAGGGGGGGGCTTCTCAAGCCCCCCCCCCCCCCCCCCCCCCGGGCTAAATAGGGTTAAACCCCTATCAGTAGTTAATGGTTAATAATGGTCACATTCTATTGTATAAAAGTATAAATCCTCGCTCTAACCATACCCTTGTCTCCCTTCCAGACTTCCATCCAATGTAAGCTATGAGGAGGGGGCCTTAGTTGAGCCCCTAGCAGTGGCGCTGTACACCTGCAGCAGAGCAGAAGTATCTCTTGGATCCAAAGTACTTATATGTGGGAGTGGTGAGTCTGCTCTACAATTAACCCATTGTCTACTAATACCAGGGGGTGTTTAAAAAAGATCCTAAGTTGAACTTATCTCTAAGTTGGACTTAGAAATTATGGAAACTGTAAGCATCTTCGAAAATATTTTGTAAAAGTTATTTTAAAAGGCATAAAATGTTGATTCAAATCATTCATATTTTGTATTATGAAGGACATTTCATGCTTTTAATGTGGAATTTATGAAAAGTCTAAAATACTTAAATTTTTCAGTTGCTTTTGAATATATTTTATCTTAAGGCTACAAATGGCTCTCCATAATGTTTAAGTCCAACTTAGAGTTTATTTCAACTTAGGATCTTTTTAAACACCCGCAGCTGGCTCCTGTATTAAGTCTATGTGACTGAGAGAATTCAGTAGTCTAGGGGTTAAAATATTCTTTAATACCTCTGCTGTCATTTTTTCTTCTTCAACCCATTTTTTTTCTGTAAATTTATCGAAGATTATCAAGTTTTACTGGGTTTGCTTAGGAATTAGAAATTTGAAACATTGAATTGAAAGTGCATTGTGTATGAAGAATTTAAAGGAATCTTAGTCTGTTTTGAAACTGAAATGCTAATGCTCTGTGTGAACAGTATTCGCTTAGAATAAATGCCTTGATGAGCTTGTACAAGTGACAAATCAAGTATTCAATAGTTAAAAAATATTAAAACGATACTAAATTATATGTTGTAAGGTGAACTGTATGTTTTATCACTATGGGTATGTCCTTCTTCTCTCTCGTCTCTATTCTACATGTTTAAATCACTGCTTTCTTCTTCAATGCTTCTATTAATGTAGGTCCTGTGGGTATACTCACAATGCTCACAGCGAAGTCAATGGGAGCAAGTCAAGTCATTATAACAGGTAACTTTTATATTTAGACAATAATTCTCCAAATAAACTAGATTCAATTTTCCATGGTCTTAAAGGAGAAGTCCACCCTAATATTATCTTGGTTTCAATATTAGCAGAAAAATTAGAGAAATAAATTAGTGAAAGTATGAGCAATATTCAATTAAAAAAAAGAAGTTATGACTCTTTGGAGTTGTCATCAGTGAAACTTAATATTAGGATGGACTTCCCCTTTCAGCTCATTAGCCTCTTCTATGTTACTGTGGGCAGCACTGAGCAGCTCTGTCCTAAAATGAAATCGTTTGACTAGAAGTAGCTATTTTCTTCTTTCTGAAAGAAAGCTCTATCAAACATTGTTGTCAAGGGTGTTCCAATGGTAGATATGTAAGCCAAAGTTAACAAAAAAACTGAGAATTCAAATCCTAAATTCGAATATTTAAAAGTCATGAATGGTAACTACATGTATCTATAAACCGTGAGACACTGAAGGGGTAAATTTTGTTTATGGTGTGAAATTCTGTAGTGTCAACAAAGTTTATGAACATATAATACAATTGAGATATCATGATACAGGTTTAGATTATGATTTTTTTTATAATTTTGATGAAATTAAAATAATTGAAGCCAGTTCTTATTATTATTTCCTTATTGCAACCAAAACTTGAGGTTGGATTTGAAATAAAATAGACACAGATAGATAACAATGGTAGAAATAATGTACACAAAGTCAAAGAGTGTCAAGTCTGATACATAAATTGATGAATAACAATGTACTATAATCAAGTTATTACACATTATAAAAATAGTTTTAATTTCAAAGAAGCCCTACACAGATGTTGCTTGTTCAAAATGATAAGATACCATAACAAAATTGCAATGCAACGCCACCCTATTCTTTGCAGATATTGATGATCATCGCTGAGTGTAGCCAAGCAGAATGGAGCGGACTACACTCTGAATGTCAATGGGTTTAGCAGTGAGGAGGCAGCAAAGAAGGTCGTTGACCTGCTGGGCTGTGAGCCTCATTGTGGTATGGAGTGCTGTGGGTCTGACATCGCTCTTATCTCCTGTATAGTGGTAGGTTTAGGGATTTTACCCATTTTAAAGGTAGTTTATATGTGTTCCTTTGTCTCCCCCCCCCCCCCCCCCCCCCCCCCCCCCCCCCCCCCCCCCCATGCCATTATCGTATACCGGTATTCAAACTACCGGTCTCAAATTTACTGTTATGAAGAGTTCTGTAATGTAAAGTGCACTCTGGATAGAGGTACCATAAACCAAGAGTAGACCAGTCAACACATGCACACTGAAATGTTAAGTTTAATACTGTAACTTGTGTGCAGACCTTGGTATGAAATGCTCTGTCTTTACATGCTATTAAGTTATTTATTTAAATGTACATGTATCGTATCATCTGTTTGGAGCCAGAAGGACATTTAATTCATGTATATAATAACCCGATGCTAATGCCCTTCTGGCTCTGAACAGACTATGTAGTTTCTTATTCTTTGTTATAATTAATATCATTTTTGTGTTGAGTATGGAACCTCCTTAAATATTATATATGAAAATTGTTTGGTCCATCCACAATTCTTATGTCCTTTTGGCTCTGAACTGACTATGTAGTTTGTTATTCTTTGTGATAACAGTGCACAGATCATTTTTGTGTGGGTGTGAAAAGTTTTTGGTCCAACCAAACACTGTTTTGCTTTTCCCTCTGCCCCACTTCACTTGAAGGCTTGCAGACCGGGTGGAAACGTCCTTCTGGTAGGAAGAGGGTCCTTGGAGCCAAAGCTTCCCATCTCTCTCATATCCACCAAAGAATTGACGCTGAAAGGGATCTTCCGCTATGCAAACATGTGAGTTCTTGTGGTTCTTAAAATTATATAGAAAGACGCTGAAATATTATGTCTGTGCCAATGACCACTACCAACAGTAGTAGTTCTTCTGTTTTTAGACATTGATAAATGGAGAGAGATGCACAGAGAAAGAGAGGAGAGGGAGAGAGAAAATAAAAGACAGAGAGAGAGTGATCGGGAGAGATAGGGGGAGGAAGGACAGAGAGAGAGGAGAGAGAAAGAGAGAGAGAGAGAGAGAGAGAGAGAGAGAGGGGTTGTAAATGGGAAAGTAAGTTCTAACTTGGTGAATAAATGAGATATTGAGTGCAAGAGCAAAGAGGAAGAGATCAAATTAAGTGAAATCTGTCATTAAATGTATTTTAAGATACATGTACAAGACATGAACACGATTTTTAAAGTAAATTCATCGTATTATCATTAATTCAAATCATTATTACAATCCAGTATCACTCTTGCACAATGGAAATCATAATTTGTTTGTATTCCTGAATCTAACTTTGAAGGTACCCCAAGGCAATATCCATGCTGTCCTCCGGTCAGATGCCCATCAAAGACCTCGTCACTCATCGCTTCCCCCTCGACCAAGTGGACAATGCCTTCACCACAGCCATGAGCCGTGAATCTTGTGCCATGAAAGTCATGATACATACAGGTGTATCAGTTAATTTGCAAAGATAATATGCTACTGAGGCTTTATCAAGTCTATAGAACCATTTGAGAAAGATATTACAATGCTTTAAATGTGTGTCCTCCTAAATTTCATATTTTTATACCAGTTTGTGTTGTCACCATTTGATAAGGACTAGAAAAGAAATCAGTATGGAATCAGTTTTTAGATAAAAGCAGAATTTTACATTAAGAACCATGAAAAATGTTGTAATTAAGAGAACCAGAACTTTGTACATGTATTTTGTACATCATGACAGTACTTATGAGAAGAAACAATGTTTTTCTCTAATAATTTTAAGAGCTCTATAGTATGAGAATGAGATCTTGCCGATACGTTTATCTTAGTGTGGAATCCTGTGTCTAGGGAACCGCATTTTAAAGCCGTTTGTTAAAGAAAAGTTCATAGAATAATAAATATCCCAATTGCCTTCCTTCATGTACTGAACTAGATTCTACATTTCTTGTGATTAGATATGTTATCCTCATGTAAAGGGAATATGATACCAGTGTTTGATGTTCATTTTCTTTTTATTTCATTTACATATGTGAAAATACATGTATGTTTATGTGACAATTTTGATTCAGTATTAGAGATGTATTTAATATACAACGTGAATTTTTAAGTATTTTTCTTTCTACATTTATAAGACTTAAAATAAAAAAGAATCTTTCCAAAGATGTACACATAGTCATGTTTATGTATTCTATAATCTATGATTCATCAAAACATTTAAATGTATGTAATTGTTGCAATATAAATATGTAAATATATTTCAAATTTATATGAATCACCTTTTAAAGGTGTAAAGAAAATTATGAAAAATAAAAATATATTGATCTGAAATAAATTGCAGACTTTGAAGAATTTGTACTTTTTCATGTAGAATATGAGCAAATGGCAAGAGAGCAAATTAAGTACCGGTATGGACAATGTCATTAGATTAAAGAGAAAGAGAGAGAGAGATTTGCCTAACTTGTCAAAATGTCAATTTTGGAACATGTATTTCAAATGTGTGAACATGGTACAGAAAGAAGAAAACAACTGAATCAATCTTTTATTCTTTAACCCACCCATTGCCACCTGGTACAAACATTCATCACAAATTGGACCTTGATAGATAAGTTTTTGATTGATGTTGTATATTTTCATCACAACAATAACATTCAAATCACGAGCAAAAAAAAAAGTATACTAGAATTCAGAATACCACCCCAGAATTTCTCTGTATCTTCTCCTTAAATTGAAGCAAAAACTACACACACAAATTAAAGGCTCACTATTTCCTTTATGTTTAGCAGTGTCACTCAGTGCTTGACATATCTTTATTGTACACAAAGCTGATACATAGACACCAAAATATAATATGCATTTTGAATAGTGTTACTTTACATATGTATCACATTTACACTATACACTAAACATACATACATACATACATCACAACAAACTAAAAAAAACTTGATAACATCTTTGGGAATTCATTATAGGGGCTGTGATTAGAACGATGTAATGTACAAGGTGAATCAAATGATTAAAATCATTGAAAGATAATACAGGGATGTGAGAGTTCCGCGTTTCCGCGAATTTCCGCGTTTTTAGATCGCCCCGTCGCGTTTTTATTTTCTCCATTGAAAAAATCCGCGTTTTGCCCCAAGACAACTTATTACTTTAAGGGTCTGCGAATGCGAGACTAATACAAAAGCAAAAGCGCGCGCGCGCGCCTGCTTCAAAGATAGTACAGCGCCTGCATCGAGTATTGCTAGCTCAGCGCGCCGCGTGCGCCGGGCGTACCGTGCATTTCGATCGCTATACTATCTACGGTACGGTGTTTGCATTGATTCACATGTCTTCGTGCAGTGTGCTATTGATTTTTGTTACGATATTTCAATCAGAATCGGCGTTCTCTTTTGGAAATATGTATTACTTTCAAAGAAAATCTGTGAAATATGAGACAACATGGCAACTCGAGATCGGAATTTTATTGAGCGAGGAACGAAATTGGACTCGGAATCATTGGAGGAAGATAAGCGGGATCCACTGGTTAAAAATCCATGGAAATGGTCTTGGATGGACTTCACGCACAAAGATCAAAAACTTTCTCACTCTTTCCGTCTTGTAAAAAAAGCTGGCTACGCCGTGTGCGTAGTGTGTGATAAGGAGTGCAAATATGGTTCTCGTGGACGAGTTTCATTGACTGATCATTTGGACTCTGTTGCACACCAAAAAGTTTTGAAACTGAGAGCAGCAAATACTTTACTTCCAGGTGAGTTTACAATTGTATTTTAGAAATTAGAATCGCGGACCCCTCAAAATCCTTTAACTGATCAAATTGTTTTCTTGTGTGTGTGTGTGTTTTTTGTTGTTGTTTGTTTGTGCTGTAGGCCTATGCATTTTTATAATTATACTGGAAAGTTTTATTAATAAGACTGGTACATTCAAGTTACATGTGTCAAATCATGTCATTTGAATGGCATCAGTGATTTTGCTGGCCAGTGCCTAGGGGGGTGTTATGCTGCCCAAATTTTCATGTGATGGGTGTGTGTGTGTGTGTGTGGGCAGGAATTTGATTTGTTCATTTCTACATATAAATGTTGGCATATATTGTCATGCATTATTTCGTACAGAACATACTTATTTTCAAAGAATTTGGGGTGAGTACAGTGATACTTGGGCAGGTGCATGTATATGAATGTAACCTTGTTCATGAGTTTGCCTTTTTTGTATTTATTCATTTATTTATATATTTTTTTTTTGTTTGTCTTGTAGGTCAAAAACAACCAATGACTACTACATCAACATATGGAATTCACCCCATGTTCAAAAAACAATTGGATAAGCATGAACAACAGTTGAAAGGTGGACTCTCTGAGCCAAATGTGTCATTGCCCGACAGACAGGCATATGCAGAAGCAACCATACTTGCGTTTACAGCTGAACATTCCCTGCCATTTTCAATCGTGAATGATCTTATTCATCTTAACCAAGAACTTGCCAAAGATAAACAAGTGCTCGAAAATTTATCAATGGACAGAACTACAGCTTCGTATAAGATGACCCATGGATTATCAAAAACATTTCATGAAGAACTCATTGAGGATTTGAAATCCTCTCACTTCTCACTGAATATTGATGAATGCACAAGTGAGACAAATCAACGCGTTGTAACTGTCCTAGTCAGTTATTTTTCAGAGAAGGAGAACAAAGTAGTCACAAAACATCTGTCATCTTTTAAAGTAGTGACCGTAAACAGCGAGACTCTGTACAATCATTTAGTAGCTCTATTTGATAAGTATTCCCTTAAATGGGAGAACTTGGTTTCTATTTTGATGGACTCTTGTGCCGTCATGCGCGGTTCAAAAAGTGGACTTGAAACACGCATTAGAAGTAAGAAAGCTCCTCAGTTGCTTGACATAGATGGAGACTCATGCCACCACGCACATAATGCTGCAAAAGCCTTCTGCCATGGATTTGATAACTACATCGAGGGACTTCTCAATGACATCTATACTGATTTCAAGTGGTCCAGTGACCAAAAAGAGGTCTTGCGTTTCATCTGTGATGCACTGGGCATCAAAGCAACAATTCCAGAGCGATATGTGCCCCATAGGTGGCTTTCTGTATACGATGTTTGTGTAGATACATCTCGATTGCTAGATGCTCTGATACTTTTTTACTATCCCTTTTTGTCTGGATCAGACAGTTCAACTTATCTCCCAGTTGTTGATAGCATGTATCAAAAACATTCAATCAGTGAATCAGTAAAGAAGGAAATCTGTAAACATCAGTCTAAAATGTCAAATAAGACAAAAACAATGACCCAGGCTGGAAAAGACCGTAAGAAGAGGATTGTGAAGAAGCTGTTCCATACCCCGAGTAAAACCAAAGTACTTCTCCACATTTACACCTCCATTCTTCCTATGCTCAAGAAGTATGTCCTGTATTTTCAGTCTGTGACACCACTTGTCCACAAACTCAATGACAAACAGCAGGATTTACTGAAGGACTTTCTTGTATGTTTCATTAAACCTGAAATCTTGAACACACAAGCCTTGCATAAAGTAAATGTGAGTGAGGAGAACATACTACCTGACAATGCGGTGTTCCTCGTCAGGTACATCAAGGAGAATTTACAGGGACCTGCTGCAAGTGAACTAGTGAACAAGCTAAAGACTGCATATCTGAAATGTGGTCAAACCTTACAGAGAAAGATGCCAGTGAACAACAAACTGCTGAGGTGTGCTTCAGCTATTGATCCAGCATGTAGAGGCCACACAATCACACTCCAGCGCTTACTCCAGCTACCACAATTAGTGGCATTTGCTCTGAAAGATGTGCAAACTCATGAATATGAGAAGGAAGCAAGGCAGTATAATACAGACAAAGAAATTGTTAATACAGAAGAGAGAATAGACATATTCTGGAGTTCATTACGAGAGAAATATCCAGTTATGACAAGAGTGGCACTGGCACTGGTTAGTTGCTTTCATGGACCACAGGTGGAGTCATCTTTCAGTATAATGGGGAATGTTCTAAACACTGAAAGGCCCAACTTGCACATTGAAACATTTTCATCCATACAAACAGTGAAGTATGAGTTAACAGCAAGTGGAAAATCAGGAATCAGATATTTCAGAAGAAAAAATTACCTGAAAGATCAGGTAAATCCCAAACTCTGCAAGAATATGAGATCAGCATACAAGTCATATGTACAGGAAAAGGAACACAAGTCTGGAATGTCACAAACTGTACCCAGAAAGTCTGCTTGTCCTTCAAAGAAACAAACTAAGGAGAAAGCAATTGAAGATGCTGACAAGGCACGGGTGGAGCACACACATAAACTGATGAAGAAAGTGGAGAAAAGGAAATCTGAAATGCATGAACTACCTTCTAGTAGCAAAAAAGTACTGAAAAAAAAATGACTGGAGTAAAGAACTAGCAAATGAGAAATACTTAGAGCATCAAATACTTAACTTTAGGTACGTTAATCATTTTTTATTGTAGACCATAATAGAAGATGTTTCTGGATTTGGTATCATATGGAATGGTGAAGAAATTTAGTAAATGATGCTCTATGTACTCTATTATGTATATTGTAAATAATATGGAAAATTAAATGTTTAAAACATTGTAAAATTATAATCTTACCCCTATGAAATAGTGTTTTCTCTACATTTTAAAATGCAAAAACCTCTGGTTTCGGGGGGCTTTGCCCCCTCGACCCCCATTAGGGGCTTTGTTCCTGGACCCCCAGCCATTGGGTATGAGTCTGCTCGCTACGCTTTGCAAATCTCCTCTTTTTTAGTTTGCTGCACTCACATCCCTGATAATAGTTGACGAGGCTCTATGAAATGTTTTTATACGTTCAATAGAGTCTAAAGGAGTTGATAATACTTAAACAAACAAAAAATAGAAAAGGAATAATGAAACTGTCTCAATTTGATAAAACAGGCAAGAAAAAGGCTCTTTATACGAAAAGAAAAATGAATTCATGTTTTGCTTAGAATAAGTGCTCTCTTTTTTTGGAATACTGAAAGTGTTCAAAATATATTATCAATCGACTGCTTAGAGTTCATATACGATCATTACAATTAACAAGAATGGAAATAGTTCCTTATCATTTTGATTTCCCAATAACTTGAACCATTATTGTATTGTGTGAAAATACTATTTAATGATAGTAATAGTCTGATTTATAAATGCTTTTACCTGCTACATGTAGGTACAAAATGCTGACTCTTCTTATTACTCTGGCTTTTATCCAAGCTTCCAATATATAAACAATACATGACATATTTCAATATGAAATAGGACTTGCTTTTAAAAAATAAATAAATAAAATGAGTGTAT